AAGCATGTGATTAAGCAAATAATGATAACCAATGATCATTAACAACTTCCATGATGTCATATCCATTATAACTATCCAAGTGTTCCATCAACATTACTACGATGAAGTAACTCAAGTCAAGTGTTCACTATCCAGTGAACGATGGCGATTCGAATCGATTATTAACCAGCTGGTAATTTATTCCTTACACAAACCTCACTCACCCGCTAAAGTGAGGTATCGGTCACCGAGTCAACTATCCAGGAAAAATCTTGAGTTTGCCAGGAACCACATGTACCCGGGGGCCGACCGACTGCCTTTCGGTCTTATCATCGCGCCCCCGTGTCCTACCACGCCTGCTCTGGTACAGTGCGCTGCGGGCAATCCACTCGGCCCGAATAATCTCCCAGCTTCGCGGTCGAAAGGTACGTTATTCGGCCAGCTAAATATAAGGCATGCGTTCAACATGACCCGAGGCCCAACAACGGTCGGTCCTTAATCGACACTGACGGAAAGCACTACAGTCCAAAACCCTATAAGTCTCCGTCCGGTCTCAACTTCAAATTAACACTTAGTTATACCATGACTACATAGTTATCCGAGCAGATCCAGGTAACCACCTATAGCTCGCAGGTGACAGGAAATCACCCGACTTCTACCGGTCTAAGCCAGCTAAGCATTGACTCGACTGTGGATACCAGGGTAACAAGGATATAGTATAACAAAGATAAACAAGGTATAATGCAGCAACGGTTGCAAACAACTCCTGAACGTAATGCATCAATTAAAGTAAAGCGTTTAATTAATAATCGCAAACCGGTGAGAAAAATGCTCCGGGGTTTGACTCTCTCGAAGGAGCTCGGACGGTGATCGGGGCACTCTGGAAGTTCCTCAATGTCCTCCTCGTCTGCTCCGGTCACTTCTTGCGGCTGCACCTCGAGTTGCTCCTCGGGCTCCTCGGGTACGACGACCGGGCTCTCGGTTTGTGATCCTGTATGATGCAGGTGCGTAAGTGCTTATGCGAAAGGTGCATCGGATGAAATGAACACAATGAATTTGCTTGCATGCAAGGTAGATGAGCATGATTCGCTTTAATGGGGAGAGTATAATACAAATCTCATACAAGGTAGTCAACATCATCCAAGAACATGTACTATAAGCACTTGTCATCTACTGCGTTCTCTTCTACTACTAATATGCTAAGTCAACACATCTCATTGAATGCTTCAAAGATACACCAAAGCTTCACTAATTTCTTAATCATGCATAAAGCAACATTTGATTAAACCCTAATTAATAATAGGTTTGAATAGCAACATCTATTTTTATAGCATAGAAAAATCTTAGAAAATTACCATAGCACAGTACTACCCTAAGTAGTCTACCATCAAATTTTTATGGCATTTGGATAAGTGGAATAGCCTACAAAAAAATGACAAGCTTGGACCTAAATATGAGCATGAAAATACTTTGTATTATGAAAAGTGTCAAACAACAGATTTAGTATTTTTCCTAGGTTCTAAATAGTAAATAATCACTGTACAAAAATTATCACATGCATGTTTTATACAAATTTTGCTCTCTAGCAAAATTAGCAAAAATCAGCCATTAAAGGCACTTGAACTACACCTCATAAGTTTTCTATAGGACATGCATGCCATATATTTTTCCTAGAAAGTACATTACACAAGAAGAGTAACAAACTTGAAATTATATTTTTCTGATCTTTCTATGATTTATTATGCCTTTCTCAAGAAAACAACAATTTCAATGATTAAATAAAACTCCACAGAAAAGTGTCACCAAACTTACATGCAATATTTTTAAACCCTAGATCTAGTCATGAGCATCACAACAAAATTTATTTCACCATTTTTGGAGCAAAAATAAGTACACAAACATTTTTCAAAGTATTTCCCTTCCCAAATAATAAAAGAAAAACTGAAAACATATTTCCTATTACTACTGGGCCGGCCCACGAGAACGACTGGCCCACGGTCGCTTTCGGCCTGAGTAACAGAGTGGAGGGAAAGGAGCGACGGCCTGGCTCGGGGCTCCGGCCCAAGGCCGACCTGGCCCAGCAAAGGGCCGAGGGGAGACGGCCACGCCACGCCGGTGTTCCAGGCGCCATGGCAGCGCGGCAGCTGCCAACGGGCCGACGGCTGTTGCCGGCCACGACCGGGCAAGAAGGAGCGCGCACTGGGTCCGTGAGAAGATGGTGAACATGAGAAGGTGACTCAAGGGGATAGAGAAGGAACGGGGAAGCCCTTTCCACGGCGAGGTCAAGTGCGGCGGCGCCATGACCGACGGCGGCGAAACCGCTCAAGGTGGCTTTACCTTGCTTAAACGGTGACCCTGCAGCGAGCACCGGGTGTCAAAGAGCGAGGCGGAGTGATGTGCGCGTGATTGTGGGCTACGATGGACCACCGACGGTCAATTTCACCGACGGAGCTGCGGTGGCGAGGGTGGCGCGAGGAGAGCTCGGTGCGGGGCGAGGGAGAGATGCAGCGCGGGAGAGGAAAAATGGGGAATGCTGGGAGAAGCAGAGCTGCTGGGGCTTGAAAACGGGCGAGGCACGTGCTCGCGGGGGCCACGGGACGCCACCCGGCCGGCGTCGCCGTCATGCGCTCGCCACGCGGCGCGACACGCCTAACGCGGTCGGACGCGTCAGCGTGCGTGGGGGAGGGGGGAGAAGACAGCGCGTGGGCTGGGCCGCGACGAGCGAGCTGGGCCGAGGCGAAGGCGCGGGCGTGGTGAGGAGCGTTGGGCCGGCTTCGGCTGATGGGCCAGAAGTGAGGCGGCGGCCCGTTAAATGAGATAAGCATTTTCCTATTCCATTTTCAAATATCAGTTTTCAAGTACCATTTTGAGCAAGAAAATGACTTCTTTTGAAAATGGCCCAAAAATAAAAGCTGCTTAGAATTTAATCCTCTACAACTTGGCTTTAGGGACCAACTAAAGATTTTGCATAGATTTTGAATTGGGAAGTAAAAGCTAAATAGGGAGGATTTTTTACCATTTTCAATAATAATTTCAAAAGCATACTTTGTCAAAAGTTTGAATACAAACTTTGCTCAAAAAATTGTGCTAAATAATTCTAGATGATTTACAATTATAGCCAAACATGTTTTATTAGCCTAGCAAGCATAATTAGGGCAAAAATAACTCTAAACAAGTGTATGCAACATTCATATTTCACGAGCATGTTTCATATGTTTCAAAGCATTATTTCAGTTATTATTTACATGATTAGGCATGTATGATTATGATGCTTGATGATGCATAATATGCATGATTTACAGTGCCTAAATGCTTGTATAACACCGGGGTGTTACAATCTCTTTACTTAAAGGGGCAAAAGATGATAACTTTTGCTTGGAAAATGCGGTTATTAATTTCAATGAGATTGCCTTTCTCAACCACCACCCACCTTTTCTTCAAGATTCCAGGTCATGTTAGAGAGTGAAGAAGGGGGAGGGCATCTTTTCGGCGGGTGAGGCGAGGAATCAACTCGCCAATGCAGCGTGATCCAGGGAGTTGAGGCAAAGGCGCAAATCAGTAGGGGACTGTTTGGTTGAAGCTCTGGTGCCACACAACTTGGTTAGGCATTTATCTTAGATCTAGATCATCAAAATGCAACACTTGAGAATATTACTTGGCCTAGACAACCTGGTTGCCTAGGCCAAAGCCTGCGCTGTCTAGCATGTATAACTTGGTGTCTCGATGTGGGCGGCGGGCTTCTACCCCATGATCATCAGTTGTAGGACCACAACATCGAGTACCAACAAAGGCAAGTTAACATATCGACAACCAAGAAAATGCAAACTTAGAATAATGGCAACTAAGAGAAGTTGAAAATTTCAATAGCATTACGGGAATTCCATATAAATTCTAGTGACAATGAAGTAATTTACTCAGAAGAACAAATGCCCTCCACTCTCATCTAATCGATTGCAGATGGGACATACCATGTCGATTCTCATGCCTCTCCGATTTATTCTTAGAGCTACAGTGTCATGCATCATTCTCCACATAAAGTGCTTCATTTTATTTAGGATGATATTAAACCTACCAGTACCATTACATAGTAGCCATTATGTATCCCAATTCGTTATGTGCACCTATCAAAAACAATATGAGGCTCCCTTTGAAACAAAGGAAAAGCATAAGAATTTTGATTTTAATATTACAGGAAAATTAGGTATATAACTTTAGAAAAAATGATTATAAAACCTTATACAATTCATTTGGATTCCAATGAAATTTATAAATAAAATCATATAAATTTTGAAGGAAAACTAGTATGTTTCCTCTATGTCTACCTCTCGGAATTCTTGCAATTTTTTTTGTGTTGCATCCAAAGTCCAAAATGGTATTTTCATGTATTTTGAATTTCTGTAGGTTTGTAAGTTATATGCAACTCTAATCATGCATTTTATTTATTTATTTCTATGTTCTGAGAATCATACATTTCAAAGTGGTCTGAAATAAAAAAAATGTAATTTACAGAGAGCCGTCCAGATCAGGCCCATTTTATCCCTCGACCCCAGCCTCGAAAGAAATCCAATACCGGCCCACTCAGCCCGCGCAGACCATCCTCCAACCAGATCCATTTCATCTGTAACGGACCAAAACCCACCTCCTCCTGCCCCTTCTAAAGTGCCTTTCTCCTCCCCTCCGCTCCCTCTCCCCGTCGTCTCTCCGTGTCAGTTTCGATTCCTCTCGCCGTCGCCGACGGCCAGACGTAGCGCGTCTCGCCCTCTCGCGACCCGCGACGCTCTCCACTTCCCCCTGGATCCGCCGAGCGCGTCCGCCACCACCGCCGCCGCCGAACCCGATCTTCTCCGCCTCCCGCGTGACAGGCGCGGCCTCCCATCGGTAAGCATGCCCCGTGCCCCGGTTTGCCCTAATTCCCCGACACAGACCCCGCGATTCCGCTCCCATCCGACTCCCTTGCCGGCCTTTTGCGTCCTTCGATCCGTTTCTACGTGTGTTTCTGATCGTCCATCCAGCGATTGCCGATGTGGAGTTGGATCGTGTTATATGTTCGCCGGAATTTTTTCCATCTTTGCTTTGAGGTATGCGGTTGCGGAGATTTTTGTGCTCGTACCTTCGGAGAAGGATTGAGTGTGTGGGATTATATTCTATGGTTCAGCAGTTTCAGTGTCAGCTCTCATATGCAATGTTGCTGCTGTCATGTTTTGAGCTGATCAGGTTATTCTGGAATGCACTAGTCTAACCCAGTAACCCAGAGGTTTATGGCACAAATAACCCTTCTACATGTTTCGAGGTGTTTAGGAAAATCGGCATGTTTTCATATTGTGCTGGCACATGGTCTGCTTTATATTGGAAGGTTGGCCTGACCAATCTTTTAGTGTTCAAAATTTCTGCAGTTATTGTGATAATTGTAGTTATTTAGTTTTCGAATGATTTTCTTATAGCTTACTCTTTCCAGTCGTTTCAAGTGATCCTTTTATATTTTTTTTATGACTTTCCTTTTTGTTGATGGTTTGCGATGGTTTTCATCTCAGCCTTCCCCATTTGCCCGGGATTTAACAGCTTTGTTGTTGTCATGGCATTTCAACTGAATGACAGATATGTAAAAACCAACTGATCTAGGGACAAACTTGAATTTAGTGTCTGTCTTTCAGTTTCATTGCTGTACTTGTTATATGTTGTTCACATTGTTTTAATATAAGGTATTTTCCTTGTTCAAAGGATTCCCTTATTGTACTGACTACTTATAAATGTATCCTCTTTCTGTTTCAGGTTGGAAGGGTTTGCTGCGTCATGCATTTTCTGCGGATAATCTTCATTTGCCCTTGAGTCTTCGTTTCTTTTGGTATCTTCAAAATGTCGGGCTTGCTGAATGTACGTACTTGCACAAGTATACTAGCCTTTGGATTTTCTTGCTATCATTATGTATTCATGTTCTTTCTATTTGTTTACTACGTTGGGTCCAGAATGGATGATATTCTTGAATGAAAGTCAAACTTTTATATAACTTCAATCATCACCAGGCAAATCTTTTTAGAGATATCATGCAAGAGTTATATGAATGGAATCATCATCAAAAGTACTTCATTGTGTCACAACAATATTTTTAATGTTCGGTATACGGTACTTATATTAGGTGATAGTTAAATTGTGCACTGTGAGACAACGATATTTTTAATGTTTGATATACGGTACTTGTATTAGGTGATAGTCAAATTTGTGCACTTTGAGACTATCAACAGGTAAATCAGGGCAGAGGTATTGTTACGTTGTGATCTGGTAGGTCATTTGCTTGTTTGTTTACACTCCTTTTTTATGTTTTTTTTTGTGGACAACAAATGAGTATTTCATCGTGAACTCTTTGATGACTATCTCCTACTCAAACTTCTTTAGGGGCCTGCTTATCTCAATATGGTTTGCAGGCTTAGCTCAATATTATGTTTATTTTTTTATTAACTCAGTTTTTCTTTCCTTGGCAGTCAAACCTTAATAGTTCAGCATCAAATCTTCAAGACTCAGCTGGAAGGCCATTTACAGCATCCTTTTCGGGTCAATCTGGATCAATTCCAGGTTTCCATCATTCTGGTGAGCATATATATAATACAAAAAAACTTTGGTTAGTCCATTTATACTACATGACAGGCATTAAGTAAGGTTTCTTTTCCTGATATTTTCATAGGTTTGCATAACACTCATGGAAGTTACAACCTTCCAAGTATGCCTGGATCACTTGCACAAAGGAATGCTGCCATGAGTGGCCTTCCGTCCTCTGGGGTTCAACAACCTGGAGGTAGCATTCCTGGGAGATTCCCTTCAAACAACCTTCCGGTTGCCATGTCTCAGGTTCTAATGCTCACCTTTATTCATATATATTACAATTCATTTTCTTATTTGGTGGTAGGTAAGCATACATGTTCACTTTAATGGCTTATGGGATCCGAGGACCAATTTTTATAGTTCAAATGTCTGTTTCTCTGTCTGTGCATCCATTTGGAGCAAGATGATTTATTGTGTGGTCCCTTTGCAGATTCCTCATGCACATTCAGGTGTCAGTGGTAGAGGGGTGAATTTTGGCGGAGGTCCGGCATTTAGTAGCAGCATGAATATTGGTGGTAACATCCAAGGCTTATCCGGTGGTAGTCGCAATTCTGTTCCTGGGATGTCAGTATCTCCATCTTTAGGAAACTCTGGTCCACGGATCACAAGTTCTGTAGGAAATATTGTAAGTGGAAGCAATATTGGAAGAAATATAAGCACTGGTGGTTTGTCCGTGCCAAGTATTGCATCACGGATGAATCTGAGTGGCAATGCTGGGAGTGGTAGTCTGAATGTGCAAGGATCCAGTCGAATGATGAATGGCTTGCTTCATCAACAAGGTAATTGATTACGTGTACCCATAAACAAGTGAAATGTTATATATTTTTTTAATTTAATAGATTTAACTGGACTCCATGTGTCATGGTTGGCTGGCTTGTTTCTGGTCAGTTGTAGCCTCAACTCTTTAACATGTTATGTTGGTTGTCCACTTGCTTCATTTCTTGCTCCACGGTTCAAGCTGAGCACCCACCTTTCAACTTTTTCTTGGCATTAAAATTTGGCAATGAGAAACAAGCAGCCCACTGCCCCCATATTAGCCTGTTGAATCAGCATGTATGTATTGCTATTTTTGCTTTGTGGGAATAGGTAGTGCTAGAGAGTAAATTGCAAGCGAGTTTGTGTAATTGTGAGTGAGACAGGAAAGTAGCACCTCATGAAAGATTCCCCAGTTATACCAAGTTCTTAACATTTCCTGTTTTTATATTCTCATGTAATGCGGTCCAACTCATGATCCCAGATGTATATAGCATAATAGTACCTGATCCTGATATAAGCTTGTACATTTTTTATTTGTATAATTGTGAAACAAGTCTCCAAAAATTTTAATGGTTAAGAAGTGTGCTGTTTATTACTTATCTGTTTATCAGAGTTCATGTCTCATCCAGCCTTTTTTAATCTCTGAAACCAGCATCTCCTCAGTTGATAAATATGCTTGGAAGTTCATATCCAACATCTGGAGGTTCATTATCGCAGAACCAAATTCAAGCAGGAAATAATTCTCTTAGTTCTATGGGGATGTTGCATGATGCCGTTGACACTGCTCCATTTGACATAAATGATTTTCCCCAATTGTCTGGTCGGCCTAGTTCTGCTGGTGGTCCGCAAGGACAATATGGTAAGAGTTCTGGAAACTAATATATTTCTTAATTATTATTTGGATATTGATTTTGCTAATTTCTTTAAATTGCAGGGTCACTGCGCAAGCAAGGAGTTGGTGTTAACACCATTGTGCAACAAAACCAGGAATTCAGCATTCAAAATGAAGACTTCCCGGCTTTGCCTGGATATAAAGGTTGTTCTAGTCAAATTTGTTACTATAAATTGTCAGTTGATTTAGTGGGATTTCCTCATTTTGCCATCTGTGGTGCCGATCTGTTTGATTGTGTATATATATTTTTTGAAACGAATTGTGTTACTATATATGATCTTGACCTTCCAATATCAGTTGTGTATCTTCGACAGTTTGTTGTTATAAACTGGCCCTTGTTACTCTGTATTTGTTGAGTACTTGAGCTTAGCATTTGAACTGTTTAGTTTTCAACAGTATGACCCTGGCTTGTGTTGTGAGCTCCATCTTTCAATTTACTATTTATCTTTTCCTCAAGTTAATCAGAAGTTATTACACTTTCATAGGTTTAATGTGAAATCTTTTTGTCTGTCTTGTTGCAATTGGCTTTTTCCTTGGCAACAGTAAGGCCCTATCGTTAGATATTCTTGTACTCCATCCATTCCAAATTATAAGACGTTTTAGCTTTTCTAGATATATAACTTTTGCTATGCACTTAGATATACACTATGTCTAGATACATAGTTAAACTAATGTATCTAAAAAAGCCAAAATGTCTTATAATTTGGAATGGAGGGAGTAGCATATACTGTCCCATCTTTGACAATCCCTGCGTCAAGTAGAAATACACGACTAGTATCCAGATGAGCATTTGCAAACCTGCCAAAGGTATAACATGATGTGAACAGTTCTTAACGGTGAACTCGTCATCTTGCCACTCTTATAAAGTGGTCTGCCTTACTACATTGGATATTGGCAACACAGATCCAGAAGGCCAACACAAGTTTGTGGGTGATCATACCCATAGGACACGATGGAGCTATAGATGGATTGTCTAATCATCCTAAGCCTTGGCTATATTTGTGGTTGTTATTGATATCCAACGTGGTGGATACACTTTTAGACTAGGCCCATAGCCACACTTTTAGACTGGCCCATAGCCACAAAGTTCCTGTGTCAATGGGGTTGAGGAATGGAGTCGATGAATGTGGTACGCTATTTGGGAGAGGTTTTGACGCAATGGTCGAAAATGATCCTGCATACCCGGGTTGGGCGACATTCCCGGGTCGAGGGTCGATGCCTTTGACCCTGTTTTATGTGACTATGACTAGGCCAAAGATGGGAAGAGGTGATAGAGAGAAGAATCTATCTAGGTAAAAATCTTGTCTTTTGGATGTGTTATCCATCTTCTAGCTCTTTGGTGACCGACAACAAAAGTGGTCTTCAAAGTAACAAAAAAGCCCGACAACAATAATGAAGAAACCCGTCACCGAGCCTATAATAACAAAAAAGGAATCAATAGAAGACCTGGCCCTGTACCAGCATATCGGAGGTTTTTTCCCCTTTTTTGTAGGAATGAAGGGCCAATATTGGGATTATTCATCAAACCGCTGGCCAACTAGAATTATCATGGACCGTTATTTGATGGTCGATAAGGGGAGATTCGGGAAATGTGCACGTAGCGCAGTGGTTGGGGAGCTGATGTGTGACCTACAGGTCAGGAGTTTGACTCTCTTTTCTCACAAAAAAGGGCCACTCTGTGCTATTTAATAACCACGGTTTGTGGCCTTTTCTTGACTCTGTGGTTGAGACTTCTTCTTAATGAAGTATCTTGGTTAATAGTTTTTTTTTTTTGTAATAGGTGAGATTCGTAACATAAACAAAAGGTCCAATTATAACTTGCATGCTTGTGCGAACATGTCAACCAGCCTGTTATCCTTCTGTCAGCATTCTAGTAACCAAAACCAAAAGTGAGCACACAGCCCTTGAGTTTTTCCCCTATTGATGTTGTGGAATCATCTTTTAACAATTCGTACAGAGAATTTGTCGTATGATCTTGTCATGTTGTGCTTGTACATGGAAACAACACAAGTACACTACTACAATCCATATAAGACATGGAAGGTAAATTGGCCTTTATGAGGCACCTGAACCATCCAGAGATGTTCAAGCCCTTAGGATTTCTCATGAGACCTGACCATTTCAACCAAAATAGATCAAAAGAACCTCCTAATTATGAGATGCAATTGCTACTGAGGTACGATGTTGCGACCCTTTTGGCTGGACATGCGTACCCTGAGCACTGTACTGTATGAAGCTTCACATCCCTTTTCGTTTCTTGCGTCTTTTGTGATGCACCAAAATGAAACAAAGTTTGCAATAGGAAACAAAGTTTTGCAATAAGGTCATACTTTTGGGCCAATTATTACATTTTTTTCCTTCTTTACAAAGGAAAAACTAGCGTTGCCCTTGGATGAATTGCGTCTAATCTTCGCTGCTGAATCATTTTTCTATAAAGAGGTCAATTTTTTCCTTAGTTGTGTTACAAATCTTGAATCATTGTTATCTTTTTACCTGCCTTTTGAACTGATTCTTTCCTCTGTTGTGAAGTATTAGTGGATTGCCCACCTCTTCCCAATCGCTTAAGCTTTTGGGTTCATTTGGTTGGTGCATGAAACCTAACATGGTATCAAAGCCAGAGGTCTCGAGTTCGAGTCCTGATAGAGGCATCTTTTAAGTCCTCCGCTCCCTTCTTTATTTCCACGTTTGCGCCTTGTTCTAGCTGCATGTGAGTGGGAGTGTTGTGAAGTATTAATGGATTGCCCACCTCTTCCCAATCGCTTAGGGGGTGTTCGGCTAGTATAGTTCTGGCTTGTTTCAGCTTATTCTCTCTCACAGAACACTATTCAATCATCCAAAACCAGCCGAAATACACTGTTCATCGGATCAGCCGAACACGCCCTAAGCTTTTGGGTTCATTTGGTTGGTGCATGAAACCTAACATCCTCATTGGATTGGAGTATCACTCCATAAACCCATACAAAAAATAGAATCTTATGTTTTATTGATACTTGACATTCTCTTTATGGACATTTCACTAGTTAATGCATTTATTCTTGTTAACTCTATTTTAACAACTTGGAAAGTTTAATAATCTCGTGTTATCAGGTAACCCTTCGGATCATAATGCTATGGAGTTGCATCATAAGGAACAACTCCACGAGAATGTACCTGTAATGCAATCGCAGCAGTATCCTGTGAGTTAATTTTCTGTAGTTTGAATAATCATCCCCTTGAGTTGTCTTTTTTTATGACATAATATGCACACATACACAGATGGCAAGGTCAGGCTTTAACTTAGGAAGTAGCTACCTACCTAATCGTCAACAACACCAGCAAGGTGCTAATTCAGTAAGTACCCCATGATTTTCCCAAAACAACCATCCAATTAATCTTTCCAGAGGGATGTATCACTTTGATGTTTATATTGCCCCTTTGATTGAACGATGGTAGTAATCTCAGTTATGTTCTATCAGGTCCAGAATGCCCGGATCCCACAATATTTTACTGAGACCACCCAGTCAAACTTCTAGTTTGGGATCATATGATCAATTTCTGCCGCAATACCAGCAGCCGCAGCCTCAAAATCATTTCAGGTTTCAGCAGATGTCTTCAGCTGCACATTCATATCGGGATCAGATTCAAAAGATTCAGGCGGGACCAACACCACCTGATCCATATGGCTTGTTAGGATTGCTGGGAGTTATAAGGATGAATGATGCTGATTTAGCATCTCTTGCTTTAGGAATAGATTTGACAACATTGGGTTTGAACTTGAACTCACCAGATAATCTATACAAGACATTTGGCTCACCCTGGTCGAATGACCCAGCAAAAGGAGATACTGATTTTCGAATTCCAGCTTGTTACTTCTCTGAGCAAACTCCACCGCTACAGGTAAGCACCCCGTAACTGTAGGCTACTTTCGATAATGAGATTTTTAAAACCACGTTATCTGATATAACCACCAGAATTTTATCTTGATGTGTCTGGTTCATATTACATTTTAACAAATTTTGTCTTGTTGCAGCCCTTACTTTTTCAGAAGTTTCACATACTAATACTTTTTTACATCTTCTATAGGTACTTCCACAGTTCTACCATAATATTTTACTTCATTAGGCTTGTCATTTGAAGGGCGGGCCTGGTGCAAGCGGTAGAGTCTTACCGCCTGTGACCGGAAGGTCCCGGGTTCGAGTCGCGGTCTCCTCGCATTGCACAGGCGAGGGTAAGGCTTGCCACTAACACCCTTCCCCAGACCCCGCACAGAGCGGGAGCTCTCTGCACTGGGTACGCCCTCATTAGGCTTGTCATTTACTCACCATAGTTTAATCTGATTATATTTTTCTTCTTGCAGCATGCCAAGGGATGAAGCTCAGCTGTATGCTGCCAATGAACTGTGAGTACGTTGAGGCCATTTCTTTAGCATATCTTGGTGCTATTTATCTGAGTTTTCATGCTCCTTGCTTTTTAATGTTTCTAGACTTTTTTGTAGTACTGTATTAAGTGTTAAGATCACATATCAGCAATATCCGTGGCAAAGATTAATATCCTTGTTAATGCTGTAAAACTTGTTCATAAACCAGCTGCCAGCCTAACGATGGGTTAATGATGCCAGTTTCCACTTATTAGAAGCAAATGTAACCTGCATATATGAACCTAATTCAGTGAATGTTGAACCAGCTGAGCTTTTGTGTTATATAACTTGGCAGTTTTTCTGTTTTTTTTTTTTTGAAAAATTTTGTTACTTGTACACACTACCTGACCACAAGTGTTTTCAAATTTACTCTTTACTTCTCATTTTAGTTAATGAAGTTTCAGTCCATTACAATATTTGTTTGTTGGTAGTTTGCTAACTTTGATGAGTGTTTGTGTCGCATTGCTGCGTGTCCCTTGAGTCTTCTTCTAGGCTTAGCCATTTTTCAAGATATTGCCATGAATTCTCTTTCATTCTGTCTACTATTGAATGACAGCAATAGTATCTAACTATATTTGTCAAAAGCTACCTTTTCACATGTACCACACTTGACAACCTAGTGCAGCATAGCTAAACCAAACAGAGATTAAACTGGTTTTTATTTTTTCTTTATGTATATTAACCTTAATAAACCCTATATTGTATTTGATTTTGTCTTCTCAGGTATAATCGGGGATGGTTTTACCATAAAGAAGTGCGCTTATGGTTCACAAGAACTGCAAATGTGGAACCTCTAGTCAAAACTCACCTCTATGAACGTGGATCTTACCTTTGCTTTGACCCAGATATCTGGGATTCAGTCTGTAAGGTTTGGTCCTGTTGACCTATATACTGGAAAAAAATATGTGGCATCTCTTGTACACTTGAAAGTTACATTATCCTGTGTTTACTGCAGGACAACTTTGTTCTCTACTATGAGCTGGTAGAGAAAAGGCCAGCCCTGCCTTCAATAGCACAAAACGTTAGATGAAAAGAAAATCTGGGTAAGACTCTTCCCAGTAACCTAGTTTTAATTTGATCTTCCTTCTGTAGTAGCCAATGATTCCATTGTTATTTTCAATGCAATATTTAATTTCATCAGGTACCTCCTTAGTCCTGACTCATATTTTTCCCTGTTGGATGGGACAAAGAAGTTCATATTCACATTATGCCATCATTGCCTAACTTTTAAGGTAGGTATTTTTTGTCAGACAAATACTACTTGCAATGCTGTTTGGACTGCAGTTCATTGTTTCAGATTTGGTGAGATCTAAGGTGACTTGGATCCTGCAAATCCCAGGGTCGTGTATTTATTTGGGTTTAGTTTTGGTTTGGGGATTTAGCACTGGGGGTGAGGACGTACCTGATTCAGGCATGTTTGGAGGTCACCTGAGAGGGAGGCTGGCTTGGTAAAGTTGGTGGTGTCATGGCAATTGGGCACTGTCCGCCGCGGTGTGGTGGGGTCTAGGGGCAATTGATGGGTGTTCTCGTTGAAGATGGGTTAGCTGATAGTGGATTTGACAGCATGAAACCCGCGAGGGAGGAGGGCAGAGCAGCGGAGCCCTTCTTCTCAAGGCGGCGGTTGTGATGGCCTCGGGAGGGCGAGGGAATCGGGTGTGGCACCGAGATGGACAGTCAGTTAAAGAGAGAAAATCTGTGGCTGATCAATCCAACGGGTATGAGAAGTAGTCCTTTAGAAAGGAAATTGGGCTTCAACAGAACCTTGCTCTATTCTCTGTGTCATTGCGTTACTTTTTTTTCTTTCTTAAAAGGTGCGGTATCACGTGGTATCTTATTTCACAAATAAGGGATCAGGATGCATTTGGTTTTGTGTTTCCTATTAAAAGATACAGCGTCCAGTGCCATATTGGTTCGCAAAAAAAATTGTGATGTATTCCCATTATGTGTAAACAAAATTAATAATGCATTGCAATGTATCGAATCATGATTTATCCATTGTGTTTTAGATAAGTGGGCTGATTGTAGTTAATTTTGCTGTAATTTGAGCATAACTTCTGCCCTGGTTTCACATGGGCAGGACTAGGAGAGAAACCCAGAAACATCTAACGATCTGCAGGGAGGAGGAAGCTGCAGAACAGAAGTGGGGAATGTCCAGTTGGCACCCCTTGTAATTATACTAAAACAGTGGGAGCGAATGCTTGCATTTTCCTTCGATCGTGGGGAGTGTGCAACTCCCCCTTAAAACTGCCTAATGTTCAGGATTAGTTTCTCTGCACAGTTACCTCACCAGCTTCAAATGACAACGCATAGCTGGTTTTAATGTCTTACCCTCTGTCGACTGTCGAATCATATCATGTCGAGGCTTCAGCGAAAGATAAACTGTCTTGTGGTAGAACTGTAGTATCCTAAGGAGGTTTTGGGGAGCGGCGTGCACACTTAGCGTCACTGTGTGCACATCCCGCCACATCGTCGAGTGTTCGAGTAGGACTACTTGCGAACAGGCGAAGATGTCTCGTCGTTGCCTTGCAGCTTGTTTTAATGTCGTGACCCCGTCCGGGCCGTGACGCTTGAGGCAAAGATGTTTTTTTCTACCTGACTCTAACGGGCAACCGTGCGTCATTCAGGTGCAACCACTGTTTTTCCTCAAAAAAAAAAATGTCTACGTTGTGAATGCACAAAAAGAAGAAAAGGATGAATTTGCATGTCCGGTACCTATCCTTTACACACCCCCCCCCCCCCGCCACGAACCGAAAGTATAGTTTCTACCCTGCCAGATCCAACAGCCATACTCGAATTCCACAGGCAATGCACGCTCTGCCCCCCACAGTAGCAACCCGAGCAAGCAACCTACTGAAAGCGTATGAGGCCTCCCTTAGTTAGCGAATTTTTTTTGAAATGATACTATAGCACTTTCGTTGTTATTTGACAATTAGTGTCCAATCATAGTCTAATTAGGCTTAAAAGATTTATCTCGTAAATTTCGTCTAAACTGTGTAATTAGTTTTATTTTTTATTTATATTTAATGTTTTATGCATGCGTCTAAAGATTCGATGTGACGGAAAATCTTGCAAAATTTTACAAAATTTTGGGAACTAAACAGGCACCGAGTGGAGCCGCCCAAACGACTGAAAACAAGACGTGTACTGCAACACAGAACCATGCCGTATTGCCTCTGAGATATGTAAAATGGCTTCCACATCCTGTAATGTGAAGCGAAGACCTGAAATGCAGAATTCCATGGGGGTGTGAGAGTCATGGAACGCAGGATTCCCTGACAAAAGCGGCTTTTTAAGGAGGAGAAACGGGAGTGTCCTGGCTGGACTACTACTGCTCTTGCCAACTGCCGGTTCCGGTTCCAGTCCAAATGAAGAAGACCATGAACAAGTTATGGCCGGCGCTCGCGGAGAGCAAACTCGCCATCGCGCTGTTCGCCGGCCTCTTCGTCGCGGCGGTGACCTTTCTCTCCGTGCGGACGCAGTTCGCAGTCCGGGGCACAAACGGTGAGCCGATCTTATACGAATATTACGTGCCCAGCCTACGGTTTCGTTCTCAGTTCTCACTCACGGTCACGGACTTATTTTGCGTTGTCGTCGAAGCTAGCTCTCTTGCGGGGCTCGTCGGGAGACGGCGGCGCAGGTTTGCCGGCGCCGGGGGAGGAGACGAGTGATCATGCACGGCCACCGCTAGGTGAGCTACCTTGCAGTCCAGTCGAGTTCATCATGCATGACACCGCACACAAGTCTCGGTATTGGTTTCTTCCCAATTCACCATCTAAAGATCGATCGCTGGCAATTGGCAAATTTTGCCCAACATTGCAGCCGATAGAACAGCAGAACCTCCGGTATTCACAGAGCAGGCCCAGAAAAAAAGATGCCACGAGTTCTCCGAAAAAAATCATTGGTTCATTCTTCATATGCGCGTGTCACCAGCAAGTTCAGATTCCTAGGCATTACAGCTAAATTTCTCTGCTTTCTTTTTTCTACGTTTGCAGGTGAAGAAATTGCACCGGCGACGGCGACGGCCACCTCTGTTGCGCAAGTGCATCCTCCACTGGAGCCGATCTGCGACCTCTCCGACCGGCGCTACGATGGGTGCGAGATGTGGGGCGACGCGCGCACGGCGAGTGGCGTCAACAAGTCGGTGGTCTACTTCATCCCGCCGCCGCAGCAGCTGGCCACCGCCGCAGCGGCAACCTGGAGCATCCGGTCGCAGTCCCGCAAGATCGTCGGCGTCCGCGAGGTGATCGTACGTTCCCTGGACGTGTCCAGCCTCCACGAGGCGCCCCACTGCACGGTCCGCCGGGCCGTGCCGGCCGTGGTGTTCGCGCTCGGCGGACTCACGTCCAACTACTGGCACGCCTTCAGCGACGTTCTGGTGCCGCTCTTCACGACGGCGCGGGCCTTCGGAGGCGACGTCGAGCTCCTCGCCACCGGCGCCGGTGGCCAAGCATGGTTCATCGGCAAGTACGACCGCGTCCTCCGCGCGCTCTCGCGGTACGACGTGGTCGACCTCGACGCGGACGGCGACGTCGTGCGGTGCTACCGTCACCTCGTGGTCGGCCTCCGCGGCCACCGCGACTTCGACATCGACCCGGCGCGCGCCCCGAACGGCTACGACATGCTCGCGTTCCGCGAGTTCGTCCGGGCCGGCTACTCCCTGCCGCCACCGCCGCCGCCACCCGCCGCCGCGCTACCGTGCAAGTCTGGAACGAAGCCGCGGCTCATGCTCATCCTCCGGGGACGCACGCGGCGGTTCGTGAACGAGGGCGCGATCATGGACGCGATCGAGCGCGCCGGCTTCGAGGTGGCGCGCATGAATGAGGCGGCGTCCTGGGCGGACGTGGGTGCGGTGGCGCGCGAGGTGGACGCGTGCGACGTGCTCGTTGGCGCACACGGCGCCGGGCTGACCAACATGGTGTTCCTGCGCGCGGGCGCCGTGGTGGTGCAGGTGATCCCGTGGGGGAAGATGGAGCCCTACGGGGAAGGGTTCTTCGGCGCCCCGGCGGCGCACATGGGGCTCCGCCACGTCGCCTACATCATCGCCGCCGAGGAGAGCACGTTGTACGACAAGTACGGCAAGGACCACCCGGTGATCGCCGACCCCGACGTGTTCTACCGGAACGGCAGCAACGCGAAGTTCTACTGGCGGGAGCAGAACATCCGGCTCAACACCACCAGGTTCGCGCCAACGCTGCAAATGGTGAAGCGGATGCTGCGAGAGTGACCCTGTTACACATACTCACTCTTAATGCACTAAGATTTTAACCCTGTTACACGCATCATTACATTTGCAGTTTGTATCCCAAAACATCTTAATAATATATCTCTTCAAAAATGTATGGATATTATTCACTCCATTATTCAGATAAGTTTTAGAGTCATGATTTTCTTTTTGAGAATTTAGAGTCATGATTTTCGGCCTACGACTCGACCCAACCCTCAAAAAATCCAATAAATAGCCTGATTCAACCTGACAATGTGTTGGGCCAGGCTTGAGCCAAAGATTTTGACGTGACATTTTTTTCTCGGTCTGATCCAAACCCGACCCAACCTTGCATTTGATCAGGTCCAACTGGATCAGCAAGAAAGAGTCAATTTTAAGTTTGTGGTACCCAAAATTGACAGCATACCAGCATTAACTAGCAGTAGCTTGCTGATACGATTTGCTTGTTGGTTGCATCACTGTTACGAATCTTTGAATCGGTTTGGTGTACTTGGCTCAAGTAGGCATCACCACTAGCGCCACTGTCAGAGCTGGTGGAGCTCTTATGTAATGACAAATGCAAGCCAGGAAGAGCCAAGGGTATTAGCACTAGGGTTTGAATTCTTCATTTCCATCAAGGTGCATGCCAAGCAATTAAGCAAATGGAGGTACAATTGATGGTTTTCATGGAGGTGACAGCAAACTGGAAGGTCACGATAACTTCTAATTGTTGCGTCCTTTGTTCTAACTAACAGCTGCAGCAAGCTTGTGGAAAGTGGGATCCTTTCAAGTTTCAAGGAAGCTCGCTAGGAAAAGGACGTGATCGTCGGAAAGAAGAGAGTGGATGGAAACTGGAAACATGTAGATGAATCTTTTATTGTTCTTATCTGCTAAGATTAATCTTGTAGCGTGGCACTTTGCAAGGGCACTATAGTTCACGGATATCGTGTGGAGAAAATATCAATATTGTTTGGGTTACAATGCAACAACATACTGTGGGGCAGATCTCATCCATAAACATAATTTTTCGGATTGAGTTAGGCCTAAGACCTTAGTTAGTTTTGGGCTTCGGGGAACCTAGATTTGTTGGCATGCTGACCTCGGGTATTGCGAGTTAGACCGAGACTGTTGCGCACTCTAACATGTGGAAGAGAGGAGAGAGCAGAACACACATACAAAACAACTTGGACAGAAGAGAGGAGGGTGAAGAGAAGGGAATTTGTCCTGGTTTGGTGAGTTTTGTTAGTTCTGATCACTGCAGATTCAGTATTAAGGGGCACTTGTGATAGATGATTAGTTTGGGTGACAAATAGTGTTGTATTCACCTCAAACTGTGTATGATAACGAATTATATGCACCATGGACTTATAATTTGTGAGATATTGAATCGATTATAGAAAGTGATATAATCTGTTCGGGAGGCCGTATCGTATCGTGAATTATTTATGCTGTTGTGAGAGAAAAACACTGTTTACTTTGGAAATTTACGATCGTTCTGACATCAGGCTGACTATACATCCTGTATATGATTGAGGCTGCTATTATTGATGCCAAGTTTGCAACTTGATGAACTAATTACCCCTGTTGTTATCTTGTGAAGGGGCTCTGCATAAGACTCTGTCACATATTATGCACACAATCAATTTATACAAAAATGATAATTTCTATTACAAAATTTAAGACAATAATTACAAAAGTAGGGAAGATTGTAGTTCTATGCTTTATCTACGCAATGGTCTATCTTTGCGCTGGGGGACGATCTAAGGCAAAGTTCTTCCATCTCCAGAGTCCCGACCAAAATGTTTCCACACACCATTCATTAAGCTGGTCGCTGTCTTTTAGCCTTTTAGCCGAACTGGCTTCTTGGCAGTATTGAACTTGAACGAATTATCACTGATCTGAAATTTGGCAGTGAAATTGGCTGACACGGCAACAACGCCAAACAATGGAAAATCCTGGAGTTTGAGGAGATTGCGTGTTCTGTCCTGAGATTAAGACATATTGTTAGGTAAAGCTATCATAATTTGACTAGGACCCACTTTGGCAGGGAATTTCAAAACACAATGCAAATATTCACATGTACACAATTAACCTATAAGCACTAGAAGCCGTGCTGATGCATTTCTTTGTTTTCTTTGGGGTCAAATCTATACCTAATATTATTTTCTTATTTTGTTTGCTTTCCTTTTTCTGTCCTTTGAAAAAAGTTCAGATCACTCCATAATTTTTTCATGTGCTTGGATAAAGCTCCAAAGTATCTTTAGTTCGATTTATTCTTACAACTATTTTACTTGGTACAATTACCACTTAATAAGATTTTACTTGTTTATTTCTCCAAGCCTACAACTTGAGTTTTAAGTTAAAGTTTCATGGAGTTTTAGTACATATATTAAAGACCGTAAACATTTTTTCGTCCTTCGTCACTCAGAACCGTCCAATGGGGATTTAACGGACGCTTTTCCATGCTTGTACAAGTTACAGTACCGTGTCCAAGCATGGTGCGGAGCCCGATTCTAAAATAAATTGGAATACAAAGTATTTTCATGGTTTGTCGCCTCTCTTTTAGGCTTGCCTAGGATGGAACTAGAGCAATTTCAGGGGGGCAGGGTCTCATGGGTGCAGAGTTTTACTGTAGGGGTGCGTATATAGTGAAAGTTTATTCATAATCACAGTTTTTTTTTCGTTTTGTCATGGGTACACCTACCCTCACAAGTTTCCATGTAGATATGCCCCAGATGCTCCTACTACTTCCTCTGTTCCTTGATAAATCAATTCCTAGAGTTGTCTTAAGTTATAATTTTTTAAGTTTTACCAAATTTATAGAAAAATTATAAAAAATATTATGACACCAAATGGACAATATATAAAAATATATTTTATAGTGTATCTAATGATATTAATTTGGTGTCATAATCTTGGTGCTCTTTCATATAAATTCTGTCAAACTTAAAAAGTTTGACTTAAGATAACTCTAGGAATTGATTTATTTGGGGATAGAGAGAGTAGTTAACTGTCCTAACACGGTTCAGAGTCTAATGCTAAAACGAATTGGAACATATGACATGCTCAATGATCAATATCTAAAACTCCCTTATCATACAAGTTAGATTAGATTTTCAGACAAATTGAAACGAGTGATGTGATCACTAAATAAATCTCTAGACCACAAGTCGTCCAGATGATAACCTGACAACAACTCGAATATCCGTTGCAATGCAGAAAGTTTGTTTACTAGTCATAACTCATGTTTAAAACTGCATCACTTATTTTTCATCATTATTTTTCCTATAATTCTATATCTCTAGGGTTAATTTATTATTAGACATCCTAACCTATATCAAAATATTGATAAAATTTAATAATGAATCTTTTCACTAAGTTGTCATGTCTACTATCATCTCACAAAATGTATAACATATAGAACTCGACTTATATATGGAGGGGAAAATCCTACCGAAATAGTTGGTGAGTAGCGAAAGGGCATGCAGCCCTAGTGGTTACAAGAACCTTAGTAGCACTTGAGTAGCGAAAGGGCATGCAGTCCTAGTGGTTACAAGAACCTTAGTAACACTTAAGGTCTTGGGTTCGACTCCCGTGGGAGTGAATATTTCAGAATTTAACGGCTTTGTGCTTTTAGTAATAGGCGACGTTTTCGTCGACAGCGAGAACTTTGTCAATCTCGAAAATTTGCCAGCCAATCTTCAAAGATGCTCATAGAGGTAGGGTTTGTGTGTATGTGTTCATAGGAGTGAGTATGGAGACTTCACCGATCTCAAAGATTTATTGGCTCAGTCTTCAAAAATGCTCATAGGACAGGGTTTGTGCGTTATGCTGTGTAATTCTCAAAAAAAAAATAGTTGGTGAGTAAATCAAATTAAAAGATAGTTTGGAGAAGTAAATGTAAATCGAATAAAAAATACAGGGTTATCCTGATTCCTGACACGACGTCTTACTTAGGTTTTTATGGAAATAATTTAAATCTTTTTCTTATATTTTTTTGATTCACACAATCAGTAATATGGCTAGGCTCCGACGATTAAAATCTCATGGAATATTTAGTGCTCAGAATGATTTTCGTCTTTATGAGGACTACTTCGTGCTCGGGACATACTTATGGTGCTCAAAATGATCTGTTTTTCATCCAAACATTTTCCTTTATCAGATTTTTGACCTTTGGTCGGAACTCTTTTTTGTGCTTAGAACATTTTCTGTTTTTAATCAGATCAATTTTTTGTTTTCTCAAAGCACTTTTGGTGGACAGCACAAGTGCACAACAAAAAAAACTAAGATTTACTAGCCATCAAACAAGCAGAACGATCCAATCTAATACAAACCCCAAGTGTCGAGCTTCTAATACAAGACTAATCCGAGAAGACGAAAACACGGCACGAGAAACACAAGTGCTTCTGAGTTCAGCATCCTGAAACCGTACAGACCAAATTTTCCACCCCAACACGTCTGGTCGGCTCCTCCAAATCTTCGTCACCACTCACCACTACCCCACTTATTTGTTCTTTTTGTGCTTCATTTTTCCCGACCGTTTAGCAGAAAGCACGGCACTTGCACTCTTCCCTTGAAGCCTCTTGGTCATCTTCATGACACTGGACATGCCTTTCCGCGCAGACGCCTTGCGGTCCGACCTGCGGTTGAGAAGCTTACGATCCATCGGCCAGTATGCATAAGGTTCCATCTTGTCTTTCTTCTTCAGATCACCACTGGCCCTCTTGCTAGTGTACTCATGGCCAGTGTAGGCCCAACCAGAGCTCGACGTCTTCCTCTTTTTAACGGACTGGCTTCTGACAGAGCTCTTTCCATCAGCATCGTCGTCGTCACGAGAGACATGCTTCTTTTTCCGCTTCTCCCGCTCTTCTCGCACGATTATACGGCCTTCAGGGTCCACCTCAAACTCGTCGTCGTCGTCATCGGGTGCAGACCTCTTTTTCCCTGCTGCTGATTTGAGAGCCAACCGCACCGTTTTCTGGTCAAGTAAATCTAGGGGATCGCCAGTTGAATGGTCAATGAACTTCTCCAATAGGTTCTTATCTCCTTGGCGCCTCCGACTCAGCCTAGACAGGATAAACAAAACAATATTACTTCAGTTGCTAACCAGAACCTCACTGTATGCCAATATCACCTCACGTACCGAGTTGAAGCTTTTGATTCAGTACGAGATCGAGAAGTAACAGTGTGTTGGGTAGAGAAAGGACCATCTGACTCATCATCACTTCCAAAATCTGAAAACATTTGTGTGTGATTCCATCTACTTTGCCTGTAGGAAACATGGACAGACAGTTAGAAATCAGGACCAACATTAATTTCCCCAAACCTAGAAGGCTATCAATGGATTCTGTTTTTTCAGATGTGTATCATCAACGACATGACCATACACTTCCATCAACTGAACAAAGGATACCTTGTAGCTCCTGAGGCCATAGACATGGCATCCCCATCCTCAGAAGATTTTGCCTTCCGCATTTTTCGCTCATTAATCTGGCAAACATCACATGCACTCATAAAGGATAAGATTGGAGAAAAATATGCCCCCCCCCCCCCTCTTTGTAAAGACAAGCATAAAACAATGGATGTTACCTTCCTAATATTCGTGAGCAATTTCATATGCTCTTCAGGCATCACAGCTTTCACAGCATCTAAACCACATTTCTTCACAAGAATTTCTATGAGTGACTTGACCTAACAATAGAATGTGGAGTTAATAGCAAGGTCCAAGAAAAGGATAACAATGCATACTCAAGATTTTTCTATCCATCCTAATATAGATCAAGCCAGTAGCAACAAAACAAATATTATCACATCCACACATTTCTTTGAACTAATAAAGTGCCAGTAATTTAACGAGGGTTATTTCACCACAAAAAAAATATTGTGATATAAAAAAAAACAGATACCTTAGCTTTAAAGGAATTCTTTGTATCCCTTTGCGAGCTCAACAGGCCTTCAACAACTCCATTCAAGTGTTCATGCAGCATGTCGGCTTTAGATTTAGCCACTAAAGCTTTGACAAAACCTAAGTTCGCCTGACCACAATGCCGATGCAAGTATAAAAGAGCCGATAAAAAATTATAAGATGGACAAAAGGGTAAAGGTATAAGCTAGAATTCTGTTGTGCACTTTACTTTGACTATTTCCCGGTTGTTCCTTTGCATAAGCAAGAAAGTCTGAGGAAGGAGCTTGTAAGCGACTCCAATAAGCTCTGAGAATTCATAAGTCAAACGAGCCAACCCAGTTACAACGGCACTAATTGCATGTGCCGTTTGACCAGCCACCAGACCACCAGCAACCTAAACATAAAATCAGAAAAAGTTAAACCATACGATGAGTGTGTGGCTTATGTGTAGGAATACAGCCTAGAACAGAGATCTCATATTCAGTTGCCAAACAATTAATCGCTATGAGCAAACACAAAACATGTCAGAATGGTAATGACAGAAGGTATACAAGTACCATGCCAAAGAACTGGTGCAAGCCCTCCTTCCTCTCGTCATTTCCAGCATTTTCACATGCATGGGCAATTTCAATAAGCAAATCATAAGCTCTGTTTCTGGTTTTCTTGTTGGCCTGTCAATAAACATCAGCCGGTCACTGTTAATCACATGAGTTTATTTGGTATGCCACAAATGTACTAGCAAAGCTGTTTTCCCTGTCAGAATAGTTTTTTGAACGACCAATGCGAAGCTTTGCTAGTACATTTGTAAATATTTTATAAATTATACTGATAGATGTCCAAAAAGGTGAGGAGCAAACTAATAACGCAAGTATTAAGTTTAGGTTCGAATTTCTGAAACATCATCCATTAAAATCTTCCCGACTCTATTGTTCTAAACATAAAAGGCAGGACTAAGCCTAACACTAAGGTGAAGAAACATTTGAACACAAATATTGCACAACGAAGACATCATGCTGCCAGGCTGCCAGCATCCTGGTTCAGAAAGGCATTCCTGGTTATAAACTAATAACTGAGAAATCATCCAAAACCAAACGCAAACTTTAGATTACCTCCTTCAATGCAAGAAGTATTTCAGTGATGAATGAACTAATAACTTCTCTCTTTCTAACCGTAGATGAATCCTGCAGACAGAGACAAGTGTAGAGTTCTTGTTACTGCTCTCCCAGGTACAAATACACATTTGTCAACAACATGATATGGCCACCTCTTTTTACCAACCTTCAAAATGTAAACAATAAGGTGATATAAGCATTCGAGTCTGTAGCGTTTCGAGGGAAATTGACATGGCAATGATGAAATCATCAATTCCAACAAGACGTCCAAATTCTTTTCAACAAATTCAGCATCCTGAAACGATTGACGTTGATTAAATAAATGAAACATAACTTTTATTATGTGCAAAAATTTATATGAAGAACAAACTGAAAAACATTAACAGACCTTGAGCAGCATTGACAGAACCTTGTACGCTCTCTTTTGAATCAAAGAGTCACTGTCCTGGAAACAGAATATGGTAGACTGAACTTAGATTCGTGGTTACATGAAAAAGACAATCTTAACTTGCATTAAACCATATATGTACCTTAATTGCAGGTTTCACATAACTGAACAGCACATTGATAGACTTTGCAGCTAAACCAGGCATCAATGAAGCTGCAAAATCCAAAAGTAGAGCCCTGGAATCCAAATCAAGGCTTATGATCAACATCAGAGTTCGATTGAAATCTACAAATAACTAAGAAATTCCAAGGGCATAAACTCATACAAACCTCTTCATGCTATTTTTGTTGGAATCAGCTTCAATTTCCATTGAACTATCATCCACAGGCTCTGTATTAACAGCCTTTGTAGCATCCAACAACTCTCTTATTGCATCAAGGAAGAATTTCCCAACAACGTTTTTGTCTGATATGGAAGCTATCTCACTTATAGCAGGCTACAGGTTCAATCAAGAGGGAAAAATATGCAAATTAAGTAACATAACTGAATTGCAATCATCAAACAAATCAATTAATAGACTCACACAATGAGAACTATAATTTCAATCCATAAAATATGAGACTTCCTTTATTGTATAGATGACAATTTGGTTCCAAAAGGAATAGTTTCAACAATCAGCCCACAGAAATTAGAGTTTCACTGTCGAATTTCAAGTGACATCATTGAGGAATGAGGATATGATGGAATTGTGATGGGCTATAATCAACATCCCTACCAAAGAAAATATGCTCTTTAACATACCAACTCAAGAAGCCAAAACAAATAGTTCCCCGAAAAATATAGAAGCTTAAAGTGTCTTTAGCTAGGAAAATGTATCTCTCGAGTCTCGATGACTCAACCACAGCAATATGATCAGAAATTATTTTCAAAGAAGAAATTAGATAATGTACCTGCAATAATCCAATAGCATCATTCGAAGACATCAAGAATATAGAACAAAGTACTTGCAGAAGCTTCGAAGAGAAAGCACGTATCGCTTTCAAGTTTTCATCTGCCAGATTTTGAGTATAATGTTCCTTTGCTCTTCTTACAGATTTGCTTATTTCATCCTCAGCGACAATGTCTTCTTCCCTAGAAACTGACAGAGCTTCTTTGTTTTGTTTGATTAAAACCTACAACGAACACAAGATAAATATAGAAGACATTCAGAAGGGCAAACAATTAGTGTAACAGAAATGAGACCATGAGAAACACCTGAATACTGGAGCAAACAATGCCACACAAGTCAGGTTGGTTTTGGAGAGTGTCACATAAGACATCTTGTAAAGCTCTAAAATTGCTTGACGTGTCACATGAGTAGTTGCAACAAGATGGTAACAAAGACCACAGAGAATACACATAACCTCCAGCTCTCTTGGCAGAGAAAAGTTTGTCATTCTTCAAAAGCTGCTCAGTTGACATATCCAAAACATAGTGAGAGTGCATACAGTAAGAGCTCAGTCCAAAATCAAGTTATTATTCTTGTAAAGCAGAGAATTTTCAATGAATACCAAATACCTTAGGAATGTTTTTCTCAATGGCTCTAACCATACCCAGAATATCTCTTAAGAAAAATTGTAAACTGGCACCAATAATGTGCTTCTCCAGAATAGGGAGAATCCATGCATTTTCATCACATATTGACAGAATCTGGAGAATTTCAAGAACATTCTTTGGCCCCATTGCTGCAATCGCTGAACCAAGACATGCATCAAGCTGCAGAATGGAAATTAGAGATTAACTAATCAAAGACCAAATAAACTATTGCAGTATGAAGGCCATGAAAGTGCACACTGCACAGCATTATCTGCCATCCGTTCCCTTAGGAATATATTTTAACCAGAACAAGATAGCACTAGTGCACAACAGCCATGATTCATTGATTCCCCTAAGCAACATTTTGACAAACCCATATCCTTTACCAGCAAACATACTCCCTCCAGTCACAATAAGTCAAAATTTGGACAATGGGGGTGATTTCCAAAACACTACTTTGAGTTATAAATTTTTGTAACATATTTATAGAACACAGGAAAATTATACTTTGTCAAACTATTTTCCAAGACAAACCTACTCGTGTCATTTTCAAAAAGTCCAAGTAAATACATTAAAAGTAATCTACTCAAAGTTTGGTTGACTACACTTATTTGTTACTGGAGGAAGTATATATTCTTATAGTTGGTAAGGTAACTAAGCAAGGAGGATTTAACTGTCTGTGTAGTTACGGGAAAAAGGTACCTGCTTCCGGAAGGAAAAGTTGTCATCTGACAAGTTTTGCATATCTGCCAAGTTCCTGACTGCTTCGGGCAATAGGTCAGCTGAAAACTCTCCTGTTTTTATATAAATGTCATAGATCTCAGCTCAGGAACTCATGGCCCCTATTAATAACAAGTATCTAACTAGCAGAAGTAAAAGAAATAAAATAATCAAATTTTCATCCAAAAAAATGGACATAGCAAGTTAGTTTAATTTTACAAATATCGGAGCCCAAGAATAAAAACATGGTGCCTTTGTGAGTTGTGACCAGATAAGACTAGGAACTCCAAATCTCGAACACAGCTAAGCTATAGATAACGAAAACGATGATCTATTATCACCATCATAACAGAATCAATGACATGATGCAGAATGAAATGCATTAACAAAATAGTATGGATGTGGGAGGATATGCTAAGGTACTGAAACACATACCTAACTTGTCAAATGCCACTGAAATTACATGAAATGATCTGTCCCAGACGTCACTGTAGCGGAAATCTAGCAAGCCTTCTAGGATAGCACATATCTTCTCTATGATTGTGGGATCTGATTTCAACCATTGATGTCTGGCCTTCATCTGAGCAATTCCCTGTGACACTAAGGTTTCATCGATGCAGTGATCTATTAAACCTTTAAAAGCCTCCACAGAAGAAAATCTCGCCTCTTCAAATTCACTTGATAATATATCTGACAAGCAATTAACAAAAAAAAGTTAGGTAATGAACATGACAATCTATGTAAGCATCATCGACCAATTAAGAAATGCTATGTTTATGAGAAGAACCAACCTCCAAGTGAAGTAAATATCAATGGAAGCTTTACAACACAAATGTCCCTGTTTTGCTTGTAAATTTTTTTAGTACCAACATGTAAAAGTCGTGCAATCGAAGCCATTTCATCTCCTGATTTCCTTTCTGAAGACACTGACAGCCCCAACGAGCACAGAAGGTCCAATAACACATCAGATTTTAGCTGTAGTGTTGGACTTTCAGCAACAGCATGCAGAATGTCCAACATACTCCTTGTCAAAATTGGTTGATGCAAATCTAACAGTGGTTTAAAATATTTCAAGATGGTATTGGAAGGCTTCGACGCCATAAGCGGAAGGCAGCATATCAAAGCATTCAAAATATACAGGACCTCCTTAGCCCCCTTGGGGCCTGCCTCTGCTGCACCTGTATTTACAGAACTAGATCCTCCAGCAAGCAGCAGAAACCGCTCAAAAGATCTTGTTATTGCTTCACTTGCTGGAACCAAAATTGGTTGCCTTTGAAAACTCAGGAGAACATCCCGCAAGCATGAATGAGATTGTTTCCGCACCTACAACCCACCAAAGTAAAGCATGAATTACTGGCTTAATGTTAATGGACTACACATTTTGGGCATGACTCAACTTTTACAGAAGTCATGACTTATGATTTCAAACTTCTCACTGATACTGAATGATACTTTACAGAAGTAGTAATTGGCTGGCTGATTTGACTCTAATCTGGCTAAATGAGAAACGGTAATACAATCAAGTTCCATACATTGGCACACTCAGCGAGGAGTATCATTAGTTAGTTTGAACGGGAACGAAATTTGAATGAAAGCAGCAGATGGAGAGTGTCAGCTTTGTTCATACCTTTGGCCGGTGATCGGTACTGAGGCACAGAATCACAGTGTATAAAGGCTCTACCGCCTCCCAGTTCGCCCTGTCCCCCGCAGATATCAAATGCGCGAGGCACCTAAGCCCCGCCCTGACGCCTGAATCGGGCGTGGAAGGGAAATCGAGCACGCGCATCACGTCGTCGGCGACCTCACGGCCACGGGCGCGCACCACGGCAGCCGGGAGGGCAGGCAGCGCCGCGGAGAGGAAGGCTAGGAGCGCTCCGGCGACGTGGCGGTCGGCGCCGGCGGCCCCCGCGCGAGCGAGCGGGGCGAGCGCCGCGGCAGACGCGGCGAAGTAGGCTACGGGGGTGGCGGGTATTCCCTGGTCGCTAACGGCCTGCGCCATGGCGGCGGCGGTGGCGCAGAGGTGCTGGAAGTCCTCCCGCGGCGAGCCGCTGAGGCGCGCGAGGATTGTCGCGGCGAGGTCGCCCTCTCCGCCCAGAAAGGAGAGGTCGTCGTCGCCGGCAGTGGAGCGCGGGGTCTGTGGGAGCTCAGCCATGTCGACGTCGGCCATGGCGGGCGGGCGGGGGTGTGGGAAGCCGCACGCACCGGCCGAATGCACTGGGGGAGCTCGGAAACTGACGCTCTAGGGTTTTGGGGAAGATGATGGGCTCTCTGGCTACGTCGTTTTGTTTCGTTGGCGCGCGGTTACGGGCTTTTAAGTGGGCTGGAACGAATTAGTAAGTCAGATGGATGGACCTGTCGGACCTAGTGTTTGTGGGAGCTTTCTTTTTTTTATGAATTGTTTAGTTCGTCACCCAAAAATTTACACCCCATCCCATCAAATATTCGATACATGCATGAAATATTAAATATAGACTAAAAAAATAAATAATTATGATTAATTTACGAGACGAATCTTTTAAACCTAATTAGTCCATAATTTGACAATAAAAATTGCTACAGTACCACATGCGCTAATGATAGATTAATTAGGCTTAATAAATACGTTTCGCGGTTTACTGACGGATGCTATAATTTATTTTTTTATTAGTATCCGAATACCACATATAATACCCCCATATAACATCCGATGTAACACTCCAAAACTTTACACCCTAAAACTAAACAAGCCCTTAATTCCTCTGGTCTAGTTATACAGGTTGCAGTATTTGAACCTACGCCAAACATATGACACATACACAAACACACCTACTAGAATACACGCTAGATCTAGAATATATACTAATCTATAACACACGCCTACCAGATATTCACGAATACCAAAGCTTCGCTAGTGATGGGGACACATTGGTATCCGATTGAGTAGTAAAGCTAAACTAGTTTTATCTTCAACTCAAAACTTAAAATGGACTAGAATTTTAAAACCAAAATTCTGACTTTTTTGCCCCCTCTATATTAGTCTCAGGATATCTCTGCTATCATGGACATTCATTTTTAACTAATTACACCGCCACACAGCATTAGAGTATATAAATAAGATTAAAATATTTTCAAAACGTTTGGAAAGGTAAATTGTTCTATACCAAAGGAACTTGAAACGATCAAAATAACCTGGATTGAAAATAGTTGTAAAAAATATTATTGGTTGAAAATAAACATTGTTTAAAATGAATGTTGCTCAAACAAAAGACCCTCAAGTTTTGGCTTGACAAAACAAGTTTTGAAATATATTTAGAAAGAAAGACTTGGGTTGAGAGTTTGCAATCAAGGTAAGAAGGAAAAGTAAGAGTTAGTTTGACTATGACCTACAAGCACATATTTAAGCAAATTTTTGAAAAAAAAATATATATTTGTACTACATAAAAATCAAGGATGCTACCAAACTGGTTTTTATCCCACGTGGTGGTGATTTTTAACTGAATTTTTACATGTGGATATGAGTCTCACGTGTCAGTCCATGTCCGAGCTAGGCAACCACTTCAAGTTTGACTATGACTGCAAAATGCCCATGGAAAAACCACCACAACCAAACTGGCTTGAGAAATTGAGAATCTGAAATGGTTCGAGGGCTATGTGCTATGTGTGATTCGTTACAACAAAAACAATTTTGGAATACAGACGTCAAATTACTTGGGATTCGGCTGTAGAAGAGTGAAGACAGTAGGCAGGCAGACCATCGTAGCTCAAACCTAAGAGGCTAAGATGCCATGTCTTTGAGCGAGCTTGATGTGCAGTTAGGTCAGGTTAGGCTCGCTATGGAAAAGAGCAAGCGGTCTATATAAACCTAAAATGCTACTTTCCATAGCTAGCCCAACCGGACTACACCAAAGCTCAGACTTCAGAGGCGCCAAACCGAGCAGAACGGAACCCACAGTCCACCCTATGATGCACGCACAACGCACGCATTGACCCCTGCCTCTGCCTGCCCGTACTGACGCCCGGGCGCGGGCCGCCCTACATACCCTGTCCACGACAACAACCGGCCGCGCGTGCATTTCTTTAGCGCCGCCCGTCGCTATCCCGCGCGCGCATGCCCTGCCCCCCGGCCCCGGCCCCCGCCACCGCCTCCGACAACCTCTTGTCCGCCGCCGCGCTGTCCGCACCCGCCGGCACTCGCGTGCTCAGACGGTAGCTAGCGCTCCCGCTCCCACATGGATGCATGCGCCACCACGAGCTCCGCTGTTGCCGCTCATTTGCTGGCTCATCGTCTCCGTCATCTGAATTACTAATAATTCCTACGAGCAGTAATATACAGTCAATTCAGATCTCACTTGAACATGCGGTGCACAGCAGCGACACACGGGCGGGCCACTGACGACACCGACGCGACGGGCGCCGCGCGTGCCCATGTTTAGCGGCGACAACTAACAACCGCTGGGATAGCTTTGCGCTCTCAAATTCTCAATAAGGTAGCAGCTTTCTGTCTGTATCCCGTACGTCGTCATCTTTCGCCGGCGTTCCAGCTGTTCGGCTCACTTGTCGTCACAAGTTGGCGCGTGCGTGAGTGATGGATCGGATGAACAACATCTGGCCGGCGCCCGGCGGCAGGCAGGCATGAATATCAGTATATGCAATGCATGTGACAAGATAAGAGCTACAGGTAAGTGTGCCGATTAGAATTAGGTTAAACACATGTGGTACGGTTGCGATAACGCCATTAAGATAAGCCGTGGTGTTTTCAACAGGCAGCGTGTTAACTTGCGCGGCGCCGGGATGGGATAGGACGGGGAGGGGAGGCCAAAACCGACGGTCCCCGTCGCAGGGCCGGGCCGACGGCCGGTTAAACTACCATTTGCGCCGCCGTCGTCACCTCTTTTTTACTTGAACAAACAGGGCAAGCGTCGTAAACTTTAAAGAAGCGGGCGAGAAGTAAAACCGGGCACTGGGTTTGGGTGCGTCATCACATTAAAGAATGCAGTTGGGACAGCGACTAACTGCAAGAGTGTGCAACTGCAACCAGAGGCTTGTCTTAAACTAACCCCGGTTTAGCTTAGCTTAGATCCGGGAGGGAGAGGGGAGAGATGGCGGGCGCGGATGGATGGAGATCCCGGGTTTGGTGGTCTGCCACTGCCACTCCGTTTGATCGTCTGTCGTCTCGTCCATGGAAAGCAAAGGCATCCGAGGCGGCGGCGGCCAGCAGGTCGATCCGGCGGGTCCTACTCTCCTAGATAGATAGCCATGCCAATATGGCAATATGCCATGCGCTCGACCATGCGTAGCTACCTACCACAGACCACTACCGCCGGCCCAAGCTTGCTGCCTATATATACACGCCGGACAGAGTGCCAGCAGGGCCACGATGCCCTGCAGCCCATGGTCTAGCTCATCGATCAGGCGTTCCATTTTTTTTGCCTCGGAGCGGCGAGCTTGCAGTGGCTCGATCGTGCACGCGGAGGGGCGAGCAAACCGTGCTGGAGAAGCAGGGCACGTGCTCGTCAACACGTCGGCGGCGCCCTTGGGCCGCCGCCGCTGCCGTGGCTGCATGCGTACGTGGTCGTCGCAGCACGTGCGCTCCTTCTCCAACATGGCTTCTCGCCCCCATCATCGTCAGTTCGCCGGGCGGCCTGCATGCACCACTGCCTCGCAACGGGTGGAGCCGTGGAGGGCTGGTAAGAAATAAAACACTGCAAGCTACCTGTGCTCCCACTAGTTTCTCGGTTAGGCAGGAATTTCCAGCCGACAGCAGCTGGAAATTGAAGGTTGGTCGGTAGCAGTGTCTACTCTACTGTCAATGATGGTGCTCGAATCCTTGACCTCTATATAGCAGACATATATGTCATTGGAAAGTCATGGGAGTTCGTAGAAACTTGCATGAATTCTTTAGTTCTTGTGTGGTCATATAGTCATAATCTTTTTGCTGAACTTTTTTCTTCGTCCAAAGTAACACGCTAATACGTCATCGATTTGAACTGGTTCACCTGAAATTGACCAGCTAGTAGGTATGTTGGCGGCAACAAACAAGACACCAACCTTTCTTTCCTGCCAAAGTTGAATTCATCACCACTTATTTCTCCAACCTTCCTTCGTTTTCCATAGAGAAATTGGAAATAATGGTTATTCTTTATCTGCCTTTTTCCAGACCCCGTCTAATGCAAGGCTCACTCCATGGCAAATACGTATGGTGTGAAGTAGCTGGTCGTTGTAGGGAATAAAGTCTAGTAGGGTTGCCTGCTAGGTAGCCGTAGTTCTAGTAGCAAGGTTCTGTATTTGGATATACGGGAAATAATTTTAAGTAAATGACATATTTATTAGTATATAGTATATAGTATATAGTATAGTATAAACACAAAAGTAATTTAGACATTGTTCGATTTGGTGAGGATTGGAGAGGGTAATCCCCTCGAATCCTCTTGAGGCCTTGTTTAATTGCATTTGTATTCAACTTATTCATATGTATTGGAGTGGATTGGCACACCTCAATCCATACCAACACGTGTGGATTGTGATGGTAACTAGTGCAGTTAAATAAGAGTTAACAGGAGATTAACCGAACAAGCTCAAGTGGAACGAAAACGTGGGGATGTCAGGTATGCTCTTCCCAGCCCAAATGCTGTTGCCTATTGAAAGGCTGCATCTAGTAAAAAAATATATATAATCACGCGACAGTATGTACTCGAGATTGTTCATGCATGGCAGCCTGCCATGTTTCCTTCTAATTTTGCACACAGAGCGGTGTGAACTGTGAAGCCTACGCGTACGACAGTCGGCAGGCCTCAGGAGATGCTTCTATATGCAAGCAGAAGATGCCGATCGACGACCAGTGTCCAGTGTCTCAGTACATTCCAGCTGGGTGGTGTCCATTCAATCCATCATCAGATATTTGAAAGCCAACTGATAATAAGACACTGTTTTTCCTTTTTTTTGCTCAAGGACGCCATGATCTCCGATGGCCTAGGAATGGCGGACCTTTGTGTCGGTCGGCGCGTACGTTCGCGATGCCGCCATCGACAAGGAGACGAGGAGAGCGGAGGACGTCGACCTTGGTGCCCAGCGACGCCGCTGGACGCGGCCACGCTGCGATGCGCCAGGTGTTCGGGCCGTGGTCACCGCCTCACAGTTTTTTTTTTACAACAATCACCGCCTCACAGTTGGGCCGAGGCCGCCGCAGCACCGTCGTGGGCAGGGGTTCCTGGCGGCAGCTGCTGCAGACGCCCACGTAGGATTCCCTGCGCCGGTTGCGTGGGCTTCCCTGACGTGACATTCGCATGGCCTATACTCCCATGTGTTTAGAGCATCTCCAACAGATGTGGTAAAATAAATAATCAAATTACATAGTTTAGCTCTTTTGTAAAATATAGAAGTCCGCAAAAAAGAAGAGTTTTCTAATAGACTTGCTATTTCTCATCTTGTATATTAAAAAATTGCCACGTCACCAACTACCATGGACCTATTCCACTTGCCGATTAAAATTTTGTACGATCTATTCCTTTGGAGTCGTCCGCAGCAACGTCGTGGCGGCGGCTGTGCTCCTTCGCGTCAATAGAAGATCGTCGCGTTCTGGGCTCCTGGCGGCGACATCGCGCGTGCGTCACCAGCACAAGACGCTGATCCTGGTACGTGGCGACGGGCTGCTGCTGCCCTGTACGTGTTCACTCAATATAGCCTATTCAATCTCCTATGCACAAGACGCTAATCCTGGTTAGGTGTTCAAGCAGATTCCTAGGTGTTCAAGTAGATCGATCTCTGTTTGGACGGCTTCCACAGCTCGCAGCAAATAATGGAATTTGAAGATGTAGTTAACGAGCTGATGGATTCTTCGTCGTCGTCGTCGCCATCGCGGATGGATGATGATGAGGTATATACTGCAGCGAGCATATAGTACTATCGGACATTGTCAATCCAAAGCATGCCATCGTTGATCCGTAGAGGGACATCGTGTTGTGAATCGTGATAGGCGGTCCGGACACCGCAGATTGTATGAAGATTATTTCTCGAGATAATCCTACGTATGGACGAGAGTTATTTCAAAGCGGAGTTAATTCTCTCAAATTTTATTGACTTATGTTTAGTGTACGCATTGTTGTCTCAATAATTTTTTTAATCTGGACGTCATAGGTTTCGAATCGGCGTCACGTGTTTGTCCGCATAATGAATGCCGTTGAGAAGTATGATGACTATTTCTTGCGAAGAGGAATGCAAGGAACCCTAGGACTATCTTGTTTGCAAAAAGGTGGTGGCAGCATTCCGGATGTTAGCTTATGGAGTAGCAAATGATGCTATGGATGACTATATCCGTATTGGGGAGAGTAATCTTTTCTAGAAAGTCTTAGAAAGTTTGTCGTAGCTGTTGTTCGTATTTGGACATGAATACTTGAGGTTGCCCAATGAGGATGATACTGCCAGATACTTGCGATTGGTGAGAGTAGAGGTTTTCCGGCATGCTTGGTTCCATTGATTGTATGCAATCGGACTTGGAAGAATTGTCCTTATGCATGGCAAGGTATGTATAGGGGACATAAAAGGAGCCTACAATTATTCTTGAAGTCGTTGCTTCTAAAGATCTTTGGATTTGGCATGCTTTCTTTGGGATGCCAGTTCGCATTAATGATATAAATGTTCTTCACAGATCTCCTATATTTGCAAGGCTTCTTTGAAGGTCAAGGGCCACAGGTAAATTATAGCATCAATGGGAATGATTATACTATGGGTTACTATCTAGCAGATGGTATATATCCATCTTAGGCCACATTCGTGAAGACCATACCCGAGCCACGGGGTAATAAGAACAAATATTTTGCAAAAGCACAAGAAGCTTGTAGGAAGGATGTCGAAAGAGCATTTGGGGTTCTACAAGCTCGCTTTGCCATTGTTCGAGCGCCGGCACGTGTGTGGGATGAGGATACAATTCAACTTGTCATGACGGCTTGTATCATTATGCACAATATGATTGTTGAAGACGAGGGAGTTGACGAAAAAGATTTCAGATATGATGATGTGGGAGAAAAGGTGACTGTATCACACAATGCTACACCTGAGTTCGATGCATTTATGCAGAATTACAAGAAGATCAAGGACAAGGAGACACACACACAGCTTCAAGCCGACCTTATCGAGCACCTGTGGCATAATTTTCCAGATTTATATACAAATATTACTGTTGAATAATTTCATTTACTATCACAACGTCAAGGCATTATGTATTAGTTTCCACACCTATGTTCTTTGTTTGATTTACTAGATACTGTAATAGTTCAAGGCATATTTTTTGTGTGACAAGCTTGCCTTTCATTTATATTGAAAGCCTGAATGTTTTGCTTGAAAGCCTGTAACACTAGTTGCAAACATTGCTTTGATGCAAGTAATGGTTCTTTTCCCTGAATGTTTTGCTTGAAAGCCTGTAACACTAGTTGCAAACATTGCTTTGATGCAAGTAATGGTTCTTTTCCCTGTTGCATGTACAATGGCTCTCAGATGCAAGTACTTGTACTGCAGAGCAGAAGGGCAAACTTAGTCCTCCAAAAATAGTTTGCTGTCAGTTTCAGACCAACATGTCTTTTGTTGACAGTTTAGCAGTGGAAGCACTCACCATAGCCTGACAGGACTCATTTGTTAAAAACATAACTGTACATTTGTTAAAAACACTAGGCATGTTGCAATACATAATACAGTAGCTGACTAAATTAATCTGCTATGAAGAGGACCTGAGGGCAGTGTCCAACCTGCACTTCTATGTATTGTCGATCAGGCTACAATAGGTTCCAGAGAGCAAATGCAGTGTCACGAGCCCAAATATATTTGTGATGGTGCAAACGTCAAAAGCAGCTCCTTTACAGAATAATATAGATAACAAGGTTCATGCAAGAATATTAATCATTCTGATATGCTGTGAACTAAAATGTTTCAGAAAATTAAACATGTCTCACACTATGCTCAAATCTAAAAAATTCGAAATCATGGTTCTACTAATTTCCAAGCCGTCTTGCAAGTATTTTCTTCTGTTGATCATCGTAGAACTGTTGTTGTCTGGTTGACATGGTGCTCATATCAATATTTATAATTCTTTCTTCTTCTCGATCCCGCTCAAAATCAAATTTTTTTTTGTCAAGTTTTATCCTTTCTTCCTGCAAGGCAAGGGCTTTTTGGCACATCTCTTGTTTCTTCAACTCCCTCTCCTCTTTCTTCAACTCCCTCTCCTTTTTCTTCAACTCCTTCTCAGCATCCACCTCTTTCTTCTTTGCCAATAAATAATCAAAAGCTTCAATGCTTGAACGTTGCTTTAATTTCAGCTTTTCCTTCTTAGTCCCTGTAGGCCTCGGCACTGTGGTTTATTGTGGTTTCAGTCTCAGCTACAGTACCAGTGGATGTGGTCTGGTGCATCAATAGCAGGAGTTGAATCAGCAGCGGTCTTTTGCTTTTTGCTTAACGGTTTCTGAGGTCCAGTTGGCTGGCGCCTATTCGTCCACTTCGAATGGTCTTTCAGTATTTTCCAGCAATGTATGTACTGGAAAGTCCTGTGTAATGGGTCGTCATTCTTATACATAGTTAATGCATTTGCTTGCTGCAATGGGAAACAAAGATGACACATGAGATTCAGCTAAAACAAATAGGAAATTAGCATGTGAAGGTAGGTCATCTAACCTTGTCATCAACAGATGCACCACTCGATTTCGGGCCTCTACCTTCAAACACAACCTCCAAAGAAATATGTTGCAGTCATGTAGTATACTAGACCACCGACTCATTAGAGAACTTTGTGTGCGATCGATTCAAAATCCTTTTTTGAATGAAAGTAATCATGTATTCTTTTCCAATAGGTATCTTTTGATTGATTGGCTCCTCTCACAGGATCTAAACTCACATTTAGCCACCACGACACCAACATCTCGTCCTCTTTAAGAGTGAAATTTTGGACCTTCTTTTATTTCCTTTGACCGCAGCGAGGGACCTCATCATCGTGCTTGTATTTCATTATGAGGTGAGATATTGTCGACACTCCACTGGAGGGAAACCTTCCATAATCATGTCGGTCAAAGATATGCCTCAATCCATTTCGGTTGTAAAAACAAATAGCGACAATGAGTTTTATACATTCTGAAAGATATGACTTTGATATTGTCCGACATGATTAAAGTCATATCTGAAACTCATTCTGAAACTCTATCAAGCTAAATGTGAGTTTCAGAAAATTCTGACATTGAATTCAGGCATTCTGAAACTCATTCTGAAAATCATGTCGGTCAAAGTCAAGCTAAATGTGAGTTTCAGAATGTCTAAAACAATATCAAAGTCATATCTGAAACTCATTCTGAAACTCTATCAAGCTAAACGTGAGTTTCAGAAAATTCTGACATTGAATTCAGGCATTCTGAAACTCATTCTGAAAATCATGTCGGTCAAAGTCAAACTAAATGTGAGTTTCAGAATGTCTAAAACAATATCAAAGTCATATCTGAAACTCTATCAAGCTAAACGTGAGTTTCAGAAAATTCTGACATTGAATTCAGGCATTCTGAAACTCATTCTGAAAATCATGTCGGTCAAAGTCAAGCTAAATGTGAGTTTCAGAATGTCTAAAACAATATCAAAGTCATATCTTTGACCGACATGATTAAAGTCATTCTGACATATTTTTGAGAATGTTTTAGACATATCTTTGACCGACATGATTAAAGTCATTCGACATTTCGCTGTAAAAACAAATAGCGATAATGTGAGTTTCGAATGCCTGAATTCAATGAGTACTTTTAATTAGCAGATAGAGTTTTAGACATTCTGAAACTCTAGCAACTTAGTTAATATGTGCCACTGTTAGACATTCCTTACTCTGAAATTAATATGTGCCACTGCTGGCCCTTCACCGAAGAGCGCGGCAACGCCGCACGTCTTTCTAGTCCATACCTATACAAGGTTAGTGTTTTCCCATCTTAGATGTCTAGCCTGGATATAAAAGGTTTTCTCCCTAACTGAAATAGTTTGCTTATGTACCCAGTAGCTCTGACAGGTTGCCAATTATTCCTGTCAATATTTTCCCTACTTCTACAGTTCAAGGTCAATCTCAAAATGTGAACCTAACTACAGCCTTCCTCATATTGATGTTTTTACTTGCCATAGACAACTTCAGCTTCAATATATGGTTTCTTTTAAGAGTGCCTCCATATGTATTCAATGTTAGTATGTTCTGTTCCCATGTCACCTTCCTCAAATAAAACACATTCCCAGCTTCTCCCCCCTCCCTTTAGGCTCATATGCTGCTTTTCCAGCTATATTTGGATATGCCAGTTCTTTTTAAAATGTATGCAAACAATGTCCATATTTTTAGGGTCTACAAAAACAGACTTCCACAGGTCAACTGCAGTTTGAGACTGCTAAATTTGGATCTGATAAACAAATTGTGGAGTACATGGTTCTCAGAGTCTTTTGCTTCCCTCATTGCAAAGTGTCATTGATATTTCACTGCTGCCTCACTCTTACCATCATGTATTCATACATATAGATATCCATATACAGTTATAATGTGTACAACATGACACTTTATTCGGAGTATATCATGAGCAAGTTTCATACTGTTCTAATCTCAGCTAATACATGTTCTCCACATTTTAGAAATGATGGCAATGACATTCTTTTAATAGTTCAGTAAAAATATTTTGATTCTCTTTTGTGCACACAAAGGAATACAGGAGCCAGCTATTCCTGCCGAGGTTTCAAAGTGAAAAGGAGCCAAGCAGCACCACCCCACAGTGCCACGGTCAACCCTACTCTCACTGTCTGCTCGCCGGTACTAGAAATGCTCTCCAACATTGGCCGATAACAGCTCCAGGCCTGCTACCAATATGCACATTTTCTATTAGTAAAATGCCAATTCTGCTACAGCATATTCGTGGTATGTTTCGCTTGACAACTATTGGTTCATACATTACAACTCTTTGTTAGTGTGTATTCCTTTGATTCACCCACGGCCGCTGCCTTCTGCATAAAAAAAATTGCTGCCTTCTTGGCTGCGATTGATTTGCAGATACTGGGGGGCGAGGATTTTAGGCCAACCAAATTCGTAACCTTTTGAGAATCAGAAATATATAGATCTTTGATACGCATGTCCTGAAACTGAAACAGGGTGAACAGGGTGCGATGGGGCGATGGCGTTCTCGGCGAAATCAGGACAATCAATCGAGTAATAAAACACATAACACCTGAGATAAGTGGAGGAAATCAAATCATAGAACCTGAGCAGGGGCACAATACGGAGCACACGCCGAGGAATGGATTCGATGCAGTAGCAGCAGCACTGTTAGGTGGAAGGACTCGTCGTCGTCATTGGCCTCCTTGTGCCGTATTCTCCAACCATGGCAGCACCATGAGTCCTCCGCTGCAGTTGGGATCTCCCATCCGCTGTTGCTCCCATCCAAACTGCTGCTCCCATCCGCTTTGATGCTGCTCCCATCTGCTGTTGTTGGAATAAAAGGGCAGCGTGGTTGGGATCTCCCATCTCGCATTTACGAAGCTCGTCCATGAGGACGCCGCGACATCGGGGCGAATAAGGAAAGGGCGATTCAGGAGGGCCAGTGAGTAGCAGCTTCAGTGGTCTTGGCGGCAGGGCCGCAGAAGGGGAGGAGGCGATGGACGAGCTTGGGAGTTGGGAATCGTCGAATGGAGCGGGTTGGGCTTGGATCCCCACGATGGGAGAGTTCAATGCGCGGGCGGGAAGCTAGTTTCTGGTGCGCGGGAAGGATCGCGCGTGCGGGGCATCCACCGTGGCCAGCTATTTCGGAAGATGGCGAGCCAGGTTCGCTTGCTATCTATGCCCAACGAGATTTCAGGGATAGCATACTTGCTATTATACAAAACCAAATAGAATATCTGTTGGAGTTCAATTTTTCCAATAAAAATCTAAATATACCATACAGAACAAGGATAGCATATCTCTTGGAGATGCTCTTATATACAGTGACCTGTATGTGGGAATATCGTTATCAAGGTGTAATGACATGTTTTTTAAATGAGCTTTGTTACGGTGCTTGCGGTTCCTCCCGTGGAATAATTTTTTGGCCCGAAAAAATACCTTATAGTTAAAAGTAATTAAGGGTAATATGGTCATTGGAATGAACGTGCCTTCCTCCTGTACGCACGGACGAACTGACACGGCATCGCCGCCGTCTCAACTCGGCATCGGCGTCGGCGCGGAGTCCGGGCCGTTGCGCTCCCATGTGCCCGTGCTCCAGGCCGTACGTCTACGCCAGCATGCGGGGCATCATCCGGATGCACAACCCCAGCAATGGTCGTCGCCCTAGCTGACATCGACTCCAAAGTCAAGGAGGCGCTCCGCATGGCCGCCGGCCTGCTGCCTACGCGGCCATCGTCTATGTTCGCTTAAGCTTATAAGTTAAAATTAGTTTTACTTTTTTTAACTATGGAACAGTGTTTTTCTTTCACAATAAATTAGCACTATAAATCAATCGTAGCAGCAATAAGTCTTGTCAAACAGAGCCAACAGCACCGCGCTCATTAGTTTTGTCTGTTCTTTGACATTGAAGGAGCCACCTTTTTTATCTGTTTCGTTAGTTTTGTCTGTGTTCTCTTCATTGCTTTCTTTGTCTGTATTTTTGAAATAGATCCAGAGACTTTATGGACCAATAAGATGCATTGGAAGGCTATGATTAAAGGAACGAATACCATGTTCTTTGTATTAACATGGGAAAAAACAAAAGGGTCATGCAGCTGAGAATAAAGTAGTGGGAAAGTGACAGGGTAACTCAATATCATTGCACCTAACGATGTATAGGTTTCACTGCAAAATTTAAATTTTCAGTTTAGTATATTGCACTACTAGAAACTCGAATATTTCCGTGGGTGAATATTTTTTCTGTGCGTTTTTCTCATAACACACAGAAAATTTGGAATTTTTCTGTCGGTATCAAAAAATACCCACAGAAATATCGAAAACCCGACAGAATAATTGAGTTATTTTTCTGTGCGTGACAATACACGAAAAACAATGCATACCCACAGAGAAATAGCAATTATTCTGTGGGGATTTTTAACTCAGAAAAAAACAACACAGGCACATGAATGGATTCGTCGTTAGCGCCCTATTTTCGTCATTGGCACCTGCCTTCTGTATTGGCGCGGTATATAATAGAAAAAAGAGTGAAAAAAAGAAAACAAAAACACCCTAAAAGTAAATCCTCCCATGGTCGCCACCCCAACCCTATCTCAAACGCGCCGCCAGAGGCCGAACTCCGCAAGTCCGCCGCTCCCGTAGTCCCGTCGCTCCCGGCTCCAAGTCCGCCGCTCGCCGCACAAGACCACCCCCATCTGCACATTCGCCGCTCGCCGCCCGCCGCTAGGCACCCTAGCTCCATGGCCGCCGCTCGCTGCCCTAGGTCCGCTGTCGCCTGGATCTGCCTCTAGCCCACCGACGGCCGTAGCCACCAGCCCGCCAATGTCAGTAGCCCCTCCAGTGCGTGGGTCTAGCCTCATGGTGGTCCTTGGCGTGGCCTTAGGCCCGCCGGCCGACCATCCGGGCGTGGCCTAGGGCGGCCACCGGCCGCCAGAACATCCCAGGCGGCCGATCGCCTTTGGTCTCCCTCCCGCCCAACAAGACGCGTCCCGTCCACGCCTGCGCCTCGTCTCTCCGTCGATCTCCACCGCCCCTATTTTCAGTTGAAGTCTGCTTTCCTCAAGATTTGGCCACCGTGTTGTCTCCGCAAATTTGAATCGAGTTTTCAGTTCCTTGTTTCTCCCCGAAAATGTATGTATTATACTTCCTTTCTCTATGTGTGGCTATGTATACGAAGTAAAAACATGGTTCGATGTAATGTAGTGGAGATTTTGGGCTAAGCAAGGACCTAAGGTTGCTATTGGAGGTATCTTTTACTTTCAAGATAGTGAAGAATTGTTCACGACCTGTGATTGAGACTCAAAGGTATACTTCTTTCTTCACTGGATTTATTTGTTGTATGTTGTTATTCTACATTTTATTTGTGTGCCCACTTGTCGAGTTTGGAATGTTTGTCCTTGCACCAAAAATAATTGAGCTTCCTTTGTTGTGATATCTAATATATTAATATGAGTACTCTATTAATATTTGAAACAGAACTAGTTAATATGTCAAACCGGACATGGATGTATAATGGTTGGCAACGTGGCATAGCTCCCTCAAATGAATGGATTGATGGAACCACATAATTCTTGAATAGTGCATTTTCAATTCCTGGTGTAGCTGAAAATGATACCATTAAGTGTCCTTGTGCACAATGTAGGAACTACTTTAGGCATATAAGATACACTATAGAGATGCATTTGTGTAGGCATAGTTTTAAGGAAGACTATGAAACTTGGACTGAGCATGGTGAGGGGCTGATTTCACATGATGGATATGATGGTGTGGGAAATAGAGAGGGCACTGATGAAGTTGATCAAATGGATCAAATGTTGGTTGAGCTTGCTGGGCACCATCCGCCTATACTGGATGCTGAACCATCAGCATATGCCAAAGCTTTCTATAGGATGGTTGCTAGTGCAGATGAGTTGGTGCATGATAGAACCACACACTCACGCTTGTCTGCTATAGCTCGCTTGTTTGCTGTGAAGTCACGATACAACATGTTCGTCACAAAATATGATGATATACTAGGCATAGTACATGAACTCCTTCCTCCTGACTCCAAGTTACCTAATGGCTTCTACCAATCTAAGAAATTATTAGAGGGTCTTGGTATGCAATATATCAAAATTGATGTTTGCTATAACAATTGCATGCTATTCTACAAAGATAACAAGGACAAAGATAAATGTGATTTTTGTGGTGCTAATCGGTATGTGGAAGGGTGAATAAAGGTTGCACGCAAAGTTTTGCGCTATCTTCCAATCACAGATAGGCTGCAAAGGCTATATCTCCATGGGGAGACAGCCAAGTTAATGAGATCATATAGTCCCACAACATGTGGTAAGATGGTGCACCCTTGTGACGGAGAGGCTTGGCAACAATTTAATGTGGACTATCCAGAATTTGCACAGGAAAAAAGAAATGTGCGCCTTGTAGTAGCAACAGATGGTTTCCAACCATTTGATGTGAATGCCGCACCTTACTCATGTTGGCCAATCTTTGTGACCCCACTGAACCTACCTCCTGGCACACTCTTAAGGTCTGAGTATATTTTCCTCGCACTTGTTGTTCCTGGTCTGGAGCATCCCGGTAGAAATTTGAACGTTTTAATGCAGCCCTTAGTTGACGAATTTCAAGAACTATGGAAGGGGGCCACAACATGGGATGCTTCATTGAAGGAGGAGTTTACAATGAGAGGAATCTACCTTTGGTCAGTACATGACTTTATGGCTTATGGGGACTTTTTCGGCTGGAGCACCATGGTAGGTTGTCATGCCCATATGGGTGTGGTTGTCGAGGATTCCTACTCTCTAATGGGCGTAAGGCTTGCTGGTTTGATACCCATAGGCGTTTCTTGCCTGAAGATCATCCATTTAGAAATGAAGCTAATGCTTTTCGCAAGAACACCAAGGTGTTTGATGAGGCACCTAGGTACTTAACAGGGGAGGGAGTGCAAGCCCATGTGAACCAGTTTACTGGTGATACACAAACCTACGGTAGATTGCACAATTGGACACATGTACTTTTTTTTAGGCAGCTTCCATATTTCCATAAGTTGCTACTTCCACACAATATTGATGTGATGCATAATGAAAAGAATATGGGTGAAGCCATATGGAACACATGTTTTGAGCTGAAAAGAGCAAAGATAATATGAAAGCTAGGCTAGATTTGGCTATTATATGTAATCGTCCTTCCATGCATTTGATGCAAAAGAGCAATGGGCAGTGGGATAGGCCTAGAGGTCCATTCAGCATTCACAAAGATGTTAAGCCAACCATCCTGCAATGGTTCAAAGAATTGCAGTTCCCTGACTCATATGCATCCAATCTGAAGCGTGGTGTGAATCTGCTGCAGAAGAAAATTTTTGGACTAAAAAGTCATGATTATCACATCTTTATGGAAAGGTTGCTCCCTGTAGTGTTTCGTGGGTTTTTGCCAGATAATGTGTGGCGTTGTTTGGCTGAGCTTAGTTTCTTCTATCGGCAATTGTGCGTCAAAGAGCTTAGAAAAGATGTTATCCGCTCTCTGGAGGAGAATGTTGCAGTGCTTCTTTGCAAAATGGAGAAGATATTTCCTCCTAGTTTCTTCAATGTTATGCAACATCTCATCATACATCTGCCTTATGAAGCACGATTAGGTGGTCCTGTCCTAGCACGTTGGTGCTATCAATATGAGAGGTAAATCTAGAAATATTCAAATAACTAGTTTATTTATGTCACTGACCGTAAGTTAGCTATCTGTAATACGTTGCTCTCACTTCGTAGGTGTATCCAAAAACTTAGGAAAAAAGTAAGAAATAAGGATCGTGTTGAGGCTGGCATTGTTGAGGCATTTCTTGTTGAAGAGGCTGCAAATACACTAAGTATATATTTTAGACCCCATGCTCCATCTGTTAGAAATAAGGTGTCTCGCTATGATGATTGTGCATCTTCATTTCAAGGTACATGTGACCTTGACATTTTTAAATGCCTGGGTCGTTGCATGAGCCCTAGAGGTGTTCGTGAACTCTCAAACAAGGAGTACAAGGTTGTTTTCTATACATATTGACAAACATACCGGAGATGGATGATTTCTTCACGTATGTTGTGCCAAAAACCTCATTACTGTTCTGTTCTAGATTTTTTATTATCTAGGCATAACAAGAATTTTGTTCATGTAGACACTTTGATAATGAACAGTGGAAGAGCCATATAGCTCCCACAGACCAGCAACGTCGTGATTTAAGGTTAAATAGTTGGAAAAATAGCCATGGTATACAATCTGGTCTAAATTTTTTTGATTGGTTCAAAGAGCAAGTAATTTTCTCATACACTTCAACCTTTGTTCTGTTCCAACATTGTGAATTATGATAAAAAACTTAGCACATAATTTGTGTTTTTTCAGTGCTTGAAAACAGCTAGCATTCACAATGCTCTGTTCCAAATGTCCTATGGTTACTGCCCTCGAGTTAGGTCCTATGGGTGTTATGATGTCAATGGCTATAGATTCCGTTCAAAGAAATATGGGAGTGGAAGAGTTGGGCTAACAACTATCAATAGTGGTGTTTGTGTAACTTCTTTTGATGAATCAGACAATGCTCTAGAGTATTATGGAATCATAGAAGATATAATTAAAATTGAGTGGGAAGGCAGCATGAAACTAGAGTTGGTGCTGTTTTATTGCTCCTGGTTTGATCCAACACCCAATGGATTGAGGTGTATTGAAGATCTAGGCTTGGTAGAGATCAATCATACATTAAGATTATCAAATTTTAACCCATTTGTGATGGCTAGTCAGATTACTCAAGTGTACTATCTGTCATACCCGTGTAAGAACAGAGAGTTGTCTTTATGGTGGGTTGTCTACCATGTTGCTCCACATGGATGTGTGCCTATGAATGAAAGCAGTAGTGAAGCTATGAATATGGAAGGGGTAGTGCAGGATGTCTACCAAGCGGATGGTTTGGATGGCGCCTTTGTCATTGATTTGAGTGATGCCTTGGACTCCATAATTGCAACGGGATCAGATGAGGTTACTGACCTAAAAGACTTGGAAGCAATACAGAAACAAGTTGTTCTGGATGAGGAATATGATGAAGAAGTTATTGAAGAAGAGAAAGAGACGGAAGAGGATGATGAAGCAATGGATGAAGAAGATGAAGAAACTTATGATCCAAATGATTTTTGAATATGCAGTTCAAAATATATGTTTTAGTTATGCTATTTGTTATGCATAAGATCCTATGTAACTGCTTTTTGAATATGCAATAGCACAAATTCAAAGATTATTAATATATCGGTTTGCATGTGTGCTTCAAAGATTACTAAATCTGAATTCATGATGTTTTCTCTCAATCCTTTATTAATATAGCAGTTTCCATGTTTGTCGCCCCTCCAATAATTGTTTTAAGATGGATCTAACATATTGTATCTATCTGCAGATGGTCAAGACACTCAACAAACGTGTGCCTAGTTTAAATGCACCGAAAGGAATGATGGTTCTGAAAGTGCAAAGTGTTCCATGGTCCATTCCATTCAACACACACGCGCAGTAGCCAATAAAGAAGCAGCCCCAAACAAATGAAGGTTCTGGAACTGCAGCGATGCCTCACAAAAGGACAATAGTTGTTGAAGCTCCCCAATAGAGCCACCCAAGAAAAGAGGAACGGCAAGGGGGGTCCCAACAAAATTTAAACAACCTCCATGTGGTGTTAAAGTGGCTCTTAAACCAAGTGGTGACGAGTGAGTGCATTTCTTGCTTGATTCTTTGTTGGCTCCCGATCTTTGGTGCTAGTAATTTGGTAGCTGCACATGATGTCCTTTTACTAGCATATGCACATAATCCTTGCACCAACCTTTTGTGCTTGACCTAAAAAGGACATATTGTGTACTTTGTTTCGGTTTACCCACCACTACGCCTGGGTCTTGCCCGGCCCAAGCGTATGAGCTCCTCACAAAGGCAACAATTTCCTCTGAGCACAAAATAGTTGTGACTAGCAAATATAGAATTATGCCAAGTCTAATTTAAACACAACATTCAGTTCACACTTCACACCTTGTCATTCAGGCCCATTCTATAGAATACTTCACGCAAATGTTCCGTAGGTGAAAGGTGGGCCAAAGAAATTTGAATGGTGAGAAAATAGAAATATGAGTAACCTCGAATAAAATCTTCAGTATAGAAATAAAGCACTTTGGTACATCAAAGAAGCAAGCAAAGATAGAGTGTTAAACTGTCAACTTAAATAATTATATGGCACATGAAGAGATCAATCAGAACCACTTGGATAGGGGTGTTTGGAAACATTGCAATGCTTAGGAAGATAATGTGCAAAGGACATTTTAATTCTATGACCATAAGACAACTCAGATGAACATGATTCTATTCTAGGTAGCGCACTTCTCAATATTTTCTTCTTCTCGCATGTTGTTCACCATTTGATTTGACCAGATCAGAGATCCCACAAAGGTAATTCTTTAAAAAAGCTTATGCTGTATAGATCACATAACACTATTCTATGACTTTAGCTTGCTTCTACCTTCAAGTCTTATCTTATACTAATTAAATTCCAAAAGAATATAGATTAATCTGTCCTAAGCATCTCAAAAGCTGAATTTGGAGGCACTATAGGTAACACAACAAACACTGGTGGAATGAAAAGGGATACCATTAAAAGTTAGCCAGGACTAGGATAGGATGTGTCTTAGCTTAAAGTGGATGATGTCCAGGACTAGGACAAGGTATATTTTCTGTGACATGGATCATTTTCCACCACTAATCCAGGACATGGATCATAAACTTTGGTAATATTAGTCTGTTGAAAGCTGCCAGTGTACTGACATGCCAAATACAAGTCATCTGTGGGATTAAATATGATAATGATTTGATAAGAGATAGTTTATCAAAGTTTTAATCAGGGAGTTAGCTGAAAGTTTATGGCTTATAGTACCTAGCAGCAACCATGATTTGTTTGCTATGTAATCCTGCACCAAAGTCTAATCTCTTACATGTTCACTGTAAACTTCCATGTCCGAATACTTGCATGAATTCTACTACAGTTGTTGTGAACTTCCATATCCTAGCAGCCTTTTGTGCTGACCTGTTACTTTATTTATAGGCAATTCAATTATATTTACTACCCGTCACCTTACAAATACACTACTCAGCTTGGGGTCATACTTAGAAGAGAATATCTAGGTGTGATTGTGGAGGTGGATGAGAACGGTGATGAATTCAAGTGCCCAGCTCTGGATTGGGCTAATTATTTTCATAAAAATCCTAAGGCTACGGAAATGACAAGGGGACAAAAAGTGGTTTCTGAATTTTGGGTAAGATACCTATGTTCAATCTAAAATTTCTGAGCAACATCTAAAACTTAAAATTTCTAAAATCTATGCAATGTGAAACCTATGTTCATGGTTTTGTACACATGCATCGTTTGTTCCAAGTTGCAGCAGGAGATCAACAGACGCGGACTGTGTTCTAGAAGCCTATTTGAAGAAAAGGGTGAGGAACATGATGTATCAAGTCCGTGTGGATGCTGTCAAGGAGTACTACAGGGAAATAAAACACATAGAAATCAAAGATGCAGTAGCGTGCCATATTGACCTCGAGTATGAGCAATACAAGCAAGGAAAGCTCGAGTGGTTGAATGATGAGGTGTGGCTCCTCCTTTGTGCTTATTGGTGCTTAGATGAGTACAAGGTCAAACGTAAGAGGGGGCAAACATCTCGCTCAAGTAATGAAGATATTGCTCAAAACCAAGGAGGATCTAGACCATTCACAGAGACACAACAAGTATTGGTATGCACGTGTATATTCTTTATTCTTTAATGTCTTTTTAGGAACTTAGTAGCCTATTGTATATTCATATCTCATTGGAAAATTTACTATTTTTAGGAAGCTAACTTTGGACCACAGAAAGCAACCCCTATTAATACATTTGCTGCGATGAAATCTGGCATGAAAAGCCTGGATAGCAATGGTAGATGTGGTTCAATCAGTAGCCACAAAGCACAGAAACGCATGGTATGTATGTGACATGTGTGCTGAAAATTTCTTCTTGTTGTTGTTGGGTCTAATTAACTTGTTACATGCATAACAAAATGGACATTTTGTAGCCAAATGATTTTAATGTACAGTATCGTATCTTGTTGTTGGGTCTAGTTAGAACTAGATCTAACCAGTTCAAACTGGGTCTGATTGAAACTTGTTGCTGTTGGGTCTGGTCAAACTGGGTTTCTAACTAGTGCAAACTGAGTTCTAACTAATTCAAGATCTGGTTGGAACCTGTTGCAACTAGGTCTAGTTTTAATTCTAACTTGTTCAAACTGGGTTCTGATTGGTTTGATCTGGATATGGTTCTAGCTGTGGTTATGACTGGTTGGAAACTCTATTTTCATCGGTTCAAACCGGGGACGTTCTAACCGGTTGGAACTAGGTCTTGTTCCAGCTAGGTTCTGACTGGTTTGAACTTGGTCTAATTGGAACTAGTTGTTCCTAGGTTTGGTTTGATCTAGTTCTGATGGGTGATGCTGGGTTTGGTTGTGACTCGATGCTGTTGGCTCTGGTTCCACTAGGATCTGTTGGCCCTTAGATTTGTATCTGACATTCTTTAAATCGAGTGTCACATTCATCTCAAACAATTGAATATAAGATAGCTGATAGGCTCATATATATGTAGATGGTCATGTCAAATATATTTATGGCATGACACGGTCGATGATAATATAAGCGTAAGGTAAAGCTATATTATTAAGTATTACTATTATTAAGGTATGCAAGTATCAATCCAGTGAAAGTCATGCACCATAGCAACTGTGCACCACAATGTGTAGTGCTTTCATTTGCCGTGGAATGTCTACCGCAGGAAGCACAACAAGCAGCCTCTCTCTCTCTCTCTCTACATATAAGCATATATACATATACAGTCTCTGTGTGGGAGAGGAAGATGCATGTTGTCATCATAATGGCCTCTGGATCCATTGCCGCAACCAGGCTTTGTGGTTGTGGACCTGCTGCCATGCTGCTAGAACATATTTCCTTGTTCTGGTCTTTGTAGGATGACTATCTTGCTGTTGTTAAGAGGATAGAATGTGCAAACGAAGAGGATGGAGACGGTGCAGACATGGAAGTGGATGGGCATGAGGTTGAGCAACAACAATATTTGAATGGAAAGGCGCTATATGATGTGTCTAGTGGTGCCCCAAGAAAGCATGGGCATCTTGCCATAGCAAATGGTGCGGTTAAGTCTTCAGATGTCGTAGCAAAATTTAAGGAAGGAAATAAGTGTGCGTCCATCAAATTCAGTGACTATGCAAAACATGTCTCGAGAAATGGAAGAGCTACGTCGTGCAAATGGAAGGCTGGAACGAGAAAATCATGAAAAGGACAACGCACTGCAGCAAAACAAAGTCCTTGTAGGCTTGGTACTGGTATGTAGAATGCTCTTGTAAATAATTCACCAATATTATATTTGAATTATCTAATGATTATAATCTGAAATATCTATGCTTGCAATGCACTTGTAGAACCTTTATTAGGAGACGGGAAGGGTTGTACCAGAAGAAGCGTTACGACACTTGTCCGCTATGCAAGCAATTGTGAGTATATCTTCATTCCACTATCAACATGTTTTGTAGCTGTCATATCCATCACTTAGAGATTTTAATATGGAAAGGAAGTAGAAACTGATTAGTATTTTGTGGGGTACTATTCAAAATGTCAACACACAGTGCAGCAGTGAGGAAGTGGCCTCATGTTGATTGTTGTATAGCTACTGCAGTGAATTTGCATAGCTATTGCAGTGAGGAAGTGGCCTTATGTTGGTTTGTAATATTTCACACCTTGAAAACCAGCAGTTTGAATACTTTAAACCTTGTCCAATTCCACTTACTGTTGTAACCTTGTCCAATTTAGAGGCTTTGCTAAAAGTGTTATATTGTTGGGAGACAATTCCACTTCATCAGAACTTTGTTCACATTCGAGCAACTGGGTCTTCTCATGTCGCCTCGAGAATCGCCAACAATGGTAGTGATGTTGGCCACACCAATGGGGATCTTCATGCTGCAAACGTTGACAACAATCAAGTTTCCGACAACAATGGCGATCATGCATCGATAATGTGATGGTTGTGTTTAGTTGCAAAACATGGATGTGATGGTGGTTTCTTCTTTTGTAGAGTTGTG